TCACTCATGAGGGAATGGGGTATTACAGAAAAAGTTACATGCCTTGTAACAGATGGGGCTGCCAATATGGGGGCTTGTGCAAGGGAGCTACGGCTCAAACATGCCATATGTGTAGCTCACACCCTAAACTTAGTGGTGAAGAAGGCCTTTGACCAGATCCCTGAGCTCTCTGACATCCGAGCCAAGTCCAGGAAGATAGTGGGATATTTCAGGAGCAGTACCACTGCAAAGGTAAGTTCTGTGGCCTAATTACAGTTTCTTTAATGCTACTTTACTTTATAGATCTGCTGCCTTGACAATTTAATGCTTTTTTAATTGTATTTTGTAAGGAGAGGCTTGCAGTGGTGCAGGAACAGTTGGGGAAGCCTCAACTCAAACTCATCCAGGAAGTGGAAACCCATTGGAACAGCTCTTACAACATGCTGCAGACTGTTTGACCAAAGAGAGCCAGTGGGTGCTGCTTTGGCAAGTCTCACAACAGACATCTCACCTATTTCATCGGAGGAATATGGCATAATTTCCGAGTGTCTGATTGTCCTACGACCATTTAATGATGCAACCACCGAGCTCTCTCAAGAAAAAAAGGGTGTCTGGCTCAAAGGTCATACCTTTGCTTACTATGCTGGATCATTGTGTCACTGAAGAAATGGAAAAACCACAATCCATTGGGTCTTCTCTGGCTGAGAAGCTGAGGATGCTCTTAAGAGAGAAGCTGGATAGGATCCAAACTATGAGCATTATGTGCCTTGCAACAATATTGGACCCAAGGTTCAGAAAAATTGGGTTTCTCAGCCCTGTAAGAGCGGGTGAAGCAGAAAAAAGACTGAAAGCAGAATGTGCTTCCATAATGAGGGCTACCACCACCCCTTCTTCCTCCTCACCACCACCACCATCACAGCCAACAACCTCACAAACTGTTGTGGCTGTTCCCCAAGGTACTATTGTTATTCCATTTTAGTTGCATTTATATGAACTGTTAAACTCACAAAAAAACAATTCTTATTTCTTAGGTAACAACCTGTGGCGTCGCCTGGATGACAGAGTCAGGCAGACACAAACACAAAATGTAATAGCAGAGGCAAATATTGAGGTCCAACGGTACATGATGGAGCCAAATATTGGAAGGCTGGAGGACCCCCTTCAATACTGGGAGAGACAGAAATATGTCTATCCCCATTTATATAAATTAGCAGTGGCATTCTTGTGTACGCCTGCCTCATCTGTGCCCTGTGAGCGGGTGTTTTCGAAAGCAGGAGAAATATTGTCAAAAAAAAGAAATCGCCTGAGACCTGCCACAGTGGAGAAACTGTTGTTTTTAAATAAAAACCAATGATGTGTCCCCTGAACCATAATCACCCAACGTTACAAAAGCACAATCACTGTCCATACTCCAACTCCAACCACCCTCACCTCACTGGAAATGATCATTAGCTTTTTATATTTATATATATACACACACAGTATACATCACTACCATATACATGTTTTGCATACTTCTTTACTTTGCTGACAGTTTTATTCACAGGCTTTGCAAAATGCAACACACTTCAAATTCATGTCAACTGATATTTTTTGCATCCAGTAGATGTCCTACTAGAGCAAATGAAGCTTCAGGAAGCTTTGCACCAGAGTGAACCAATTGGATGAAGGGCTTCAATGCTTCATGAAGCTTCATCTGCCCATCACTACTAGTTGCGGTACCAGTGTATAGTTTGTGTCATAGTACTTGTGTACAGAGGTAGTATCACAGTACTTGTGTACAGAGGTAGTATCACAGTAGCAGAGGTGTGTGTGTGTGTGTGTGTGTGTGTGTCTGACCTGAGGGGCTCCTCCAGGGGTTGCTGATCTTATGGACCTTCAGAGGAGCTCCAGCGAACTGTGCATAGGCCTGGAAGAAGAACACAACACAAGAGTGAATACACAAAAGACACAACAACTGCACAAACACAGACTGTAAAGAAGTGGACTAAGTGAGCATGTCATCACCCACAGTGCTCACTCCAAATGAAGCTCACTGAGGCTAGCAGTTACATATTAGGAAATTATTAACAAACAAAAGTGAAATCAAAAAGGCAGGATCCTGTGTCGTGGGTTAATACAAACATTTTAAGACCAAACTGACGAGGCTCACAGCAGTTACATAGTGAGAGAGCGTTTTTCTATGTAAAGTGAATGTGTGCTGTAGTCGATGGACCCGGAAGCACGCACATGCTCACTTCCTGTCCATTTCTATATACAGACTATGGTACAAATATTAAACATGAGAAACTGAACAATAATGAAACACAGAGCTGCTCAGAGGCTCTCCAGTGTTTAGATCTGCTCCAGATGAGTTTAGTCCTGATTTAGTCCTGATTTGATCCTGGTTCAGTCCTGGTTCAGTCCTGGTTCTGTCCTGGTTCTGTCCTGGTTCAGTCCTGGTTCAGTCCTGGTTTAGTCCTGGTTTAGTCCTGGTTTAGTCCTGGTTCAGTCCTGGTTCTGTCCTGGTTCTGTCCTGGTTCTGTCCTGGTTTAGTCCTGGTTTAGTCCTGGTTTAGTCCTGGTCTAGTCCTGGTTTAGTCCTGGTTTAGTCCTGGTTCAGTCCTGGTTCAGTCCTGGTTCAGTCCTGGTTCAGTCCTGGTTTAGTCCTGGTCTAGTCCTGGTTTAGTCCTGGTTTAGTCCTGCTTTTGGGGCGTGTAGAATGAATGACAGGAGCGTGAAGGAGACTCGCTGAGCGCCTGTCCTCTGTCCTCTGGTCCGTGATCCTCTCTGTCCCGGCTCTGATCTGATCCGGTTCGGCTCAGTTCTGCTCGGTCATGACTCGGTTCGGCCCGGCGGTCACTCACCAGCACGGTTAGGCAGTCGGTGCTGACGGATGGTAAACCGAAGTCTCCTTCCCAAACAAACAAGTGCTCGGGCGCCGCCATGATGAGCGGAAGTGCGTGTGAGTGTGGCCGGAAGAGAAGAGCAGGAGGCCGGCTACACAGAGGACACCGCCGCGGTCTGCTCCGGAGCCCCGGAGCCTTTTCAGCAAGTCTCATAAAATATGTTTCTGTTTTATTTTTAATATTCATAATAATGATGCATTTTACTTAATGGCACCTTTGAAAACTCTCACGGTCACCTTACAAAAAAGCAATAAAAACACAAAGGTACAAGGAAAAAACACTAAAACATACAGAGGACACAGGACGACTCAACAAACAATGATGGATCCGTGTAGTTCAGATCTCAGAGGCCTGTCTGAGTCTGAGGAGGTGTTTTTTGTTGTTGTTGTTGTTGTTGGTGGTGGTTTTTTAATGGGATTTAAAAGAAGAGAAGGAGTCTATGTATCGAATGGATGATGGGGGGACATGGAGGACAGACAGACAGGACTTTCTCTCTCTCTCTCTCTCTCTCTCTATATATATATGTATGTATGTAGAGAGTGTGTGTATGTATAATATATATATATATATATATATATATATATATATATATATATATATATATATATATATATATATATATATATATATATATATATATATATATATATATATACACACACACACACACATATATATACATACACACACTCTCTGGGAGGGACAGACAGCACTTTTCAGTCCTGATCAAAAAACTTTTTTTTTTTTTACTACTTTTACTTCATTGCATTCCACCACTGCAAGACACTTTACCTTTAAATAAATAAATACATGAATAAATAGAATAAATACATTACACATTATCTATTTTATTGTCTTGGTTTAATACAATTTAAGCCAAAATTATCCAACATTTAAAATGTATTACAAAGTATATTCAAATGTGATTCAGTGTCACATTTCCTCTAAATCTGAAATCATTCCAAGGACACCCTGAGGTCCCTGTACCCCTAATGTCCCTGTACTCCTGAGGTCCTTGTACCCCTGAGGTCCCTGTACCCCTGATGTCCCTGTACTCCTGAGGTCCCTGTACTTCTGGTTGGTAAGCACTGCAAAACTGAAAAACATTTCTTCTTAAGGCCAAATTATTGTTCTGCATTGACTCATCGCACACTGCCACTGTCACCTTGTTGTTTTTGATTTATGGATCTGCATCGAGGTTAATGTGCCACAAAGTAATTCACTGCCACAACACTAGGAGGTGAGGATTTAAAAATGGTGTTCATGTTTACAAAAATAAAGTGGGAAAGCAGAGTACAGAAATGTATGTGGAGCAGCTGTAGAGAGGACCAATCACAGCTGATGGTTGGTCGATCAACGCAGACGCTCTGTGAAGGAGGTTCACGCCAACGCATGGCCATAAACTGGCCTTGACTGTGAGCTGGCACGCCTCTCCACAGATCTGACCTATAACTTGGCCTGGTGGCATCAGCTGCTTGTTTCCATGAAGAGAGATGAGTTTAATGCTATGCAATGAAACATTCGAGGCAAAGCAATAACATCACCATACAAGCAAGTGCTGAGAGCGACACAGTGATCTCCTGTGGAAGAACAGTCACAGGAAAGTCGTACAAACTCTTTCAGATTTGATTAGAGTCATTTACCACAGAAATACAAACCCCACATGCATGAAGAGTGTTTATTTCAGCAGTGGTACATGGTCTCCACATCTGGAGGATTTGAACACCAATTCAAATGCATATTTTTTATCATTGGCATTTTTTTTTTTTTTTTTTTTTTTTTTTTTTTTTTAGCAAACAACAATGATTTCCACAAATTCACAGTTGGTGTTAGTCCTGGTTTAGTCCTGGTTTAGACCTGGTGTAGTCTTGGTTTGGTCCTGGATTAGTCCTGGTTAAGTCAAGGTTTAGTCAGGGTTTATTCTGGTTTAGTCTGGATTTAGACCTGGTTTAGTCAGGATTAAGTCCGGCTTTACTCCTGGTATAGTCCTGGGTTAGTTTTGGTCTAGACCTAGTTTAGTTTTGGTTTAGTCCTGGTTTAGCCCTGTTTAGTCCTGTTTAGTCTGGATTTAGACCTGGTTCAGAGCTGGTGTAGCATTGGTTTAATCCTGGTTTAAACCCGGTTTAGTCCTGCTTTAGTCTGGGTTTAGTCCCACCAATCTGCAGCTCTCGTTCCACAGGTTCAGAGCCGTTTCATCATCTTTTGCTTCTGGAGCAGGATCCTTCTCGGCACAGTCACTGCAGCGAGAGAAGACCAGTTTAACCAGGATCCTAACTGGTTTTACAGGGGTCTGAAGAGTTAGTGAGATCAGAACAGGTTTAAAAGAGGATCTGGTCTGGTTTATCAAGGATCTGTAGTGATCTATAAGAGAATCTGAAGTGGTCTATCTATAGGAGGATCTGAAGTGGTCTATAGGAGGATCTGAAGCGGTCTATAGGAGGATCTGAAGCGGTCTTGCTGAGTACCTGAAGTAGGCCCCGGACTTGCTCTCCAGTCCGGGGGTGACAGCGCAGTAGACAGACGTTTGACTTCCTTCATACGGCGTCTTCATTAACAGAAGAGCAGGCAGGCTCAGCAGCGCCCCCAGCAGAGGGAAGGAAGACTGCACGTGACGCCCGAGCTCTGTGCGGATCACCCCAGGGTGCAGGCAGAAGCAGGACACCCCTGAGCCTGGAACAGTGCAGGGCATCAGGGTCAAACAGGGTGAAGAGGTATGAGGAGGGGTGAGAAGGGGGTGAGGGGGAGTCAAGAGGAGGGAGACGGATGAGGAGGGGGTGAAGAGGGAGAGACACACACACAGGGCCGTGCTGCTGAATCAAATCTGAATCACATTTAGTCATGTTTTACTGAGGCAGAACCACACGCTGAAAAAAACTTTACAAAGACGAGCGTGTCTGGAGCCGTGTCCTGTGTCCCCGATTCCAGAGGGTGACAAACCTGTGTCCTGACCTCACTTCTTTTATCTGAGAAAATGGAGAGTGCAGAGCTTTTTAATTATTATTTTTTTCCATTAATTAATCATTGGGTTTGTATAGCCCCTTTCAAGACAGCCACAATTTTCCCCCCCTTTTTGAACATAAGCTGACATGTTTGTTTTGACCCGAACAAAGCATGTGCCTCTGATTGGTTAAACCACCTGTCACTCATCAGGAGACAGACCCAGTCCAGATCCATTCATCTTTGTTAAGCTTTGTCAACATGTTTGCATCTTCCACTGTTGGGATGTGGTGACTGTGCAAGTTTGGACCTCTCCAGTCTTTTGGTCAGCACACCTGCCATCCCTCGACTCACCTGTCAGCTCTATTTTATTTATTTTTATTTTACCTTTATTTAACTAGCAGGTCCAACTGATCTGGCCAAGGTAGCAGCCAATACAATCAATACAAAACAGTCAAATCATAAAATATCACATAATAAAACCATTTACATGTTTCGGTCACCACACTTTTGACTATTTTCTTGAACTTATCAAGTGACACCATAGATACCAATTTAAGATCTTTCTGTAAATTATTCCAAGACTATGGAGCTGTAAGAAAAGGCAGGTTGTCCCAGCTCAGAGGCACCAAGGCACAGTGAAGAGCAACTGTGAGGAGGAGTAAAGCCAGTAACTACATGAGCTCATATTAAGGAGATTACTAAGGTTCCTGGGAAGGTTCCCCAGTAAATAAATATTAACCAATTCTGTTTTATGCAAATTGTTAGTGATGTCCAGGTACACAGAGTCCAGTTTGTACAGAGTGGAGGATGAAGCTGCACATACAAAGTATCACCATAGTCCTGAACAGAAAGAAAAGTTGCTTCTACCAGTTTTCTCTTAGCACTGAAAAAAAAGAAGCAATATTTATGTCTAAAATAGAAACCAATCTTTTGTTTGAGTTTTATATGATTGAACTCTTTGAATGACTCATCAGACATACTGACAGATATTGTGCATATTGTGCTCTTTCCAGGAACAACATTTTGACAATACCATACATTTCGTTTTTGAGCATTTAGAGTGAGTTTTAGGTTTGGTAAAGCCGATACTAAAGAATGAAATGCTGGCTGTGGTTTTGTTCCACATCAGTAATAGATAGGCCCTGGGTGTAAACTATCTGCATATAGATGAATATGGCTTGCAGATCTTTCCCCAGATCATTTATAAAGATAAAGAATAGTGATTTCATCCCTACAGGACGCCTCCCCCTATACTGAGATTCTGATGTGTGACCTCTGCACGCACTGGGGATGATCTGTAAGATCGTTCTAAAATATTATAATTTTAGAACCATTTAATCAAATTTTGACTGAACGCAACTGATCTTAGTTTATTTAAAAGCAAGCTGTAAACAACAGAGTCAAAGGCTTTTGAAAGTTCTCATAAAGTTCAAATAAAGCCGCTGAGTGTTGCTTTTTGCCCAGGGCATCTGTAATGTCTTTTACTTCCAGTAATTGTGCAAAAATTGAGCTATGGCCACTTCTGAAGCCAGATTGAGATTTTCTTAAAATACTGTTTTCAGCAAGGATCTGTTTTATCTGTGATTCACACACGGCCAGTGGCGATCCTACACAGAGTGCCGCCCTGGGTGGTAAAAATAAAAAAGTGAGGACCGAGTGAACTTGTAGAACAGAGACCGTATTAAAATCAAACACATCAGTATCCACTGGAACAGGTACAGGAGGATTCACATTGTGGCTTTCAGAACCAGCCACAATAAAATGTTCATTAAACAGATTAACCATGACTTTTTTATCATTCATTTCTTCTGAACCAACAATAATTTGTTCAGGAAGCGTTGAGGGTATGAGTATGTGTGCCAGTCAGAGATTTAACCAAACAGATGAATCTCTGCACACACACTCTGGCACAGAGATTGGAAAACTCCAGAAGATTTAACTGTTTTCCAGACTCACCTGTCAGTCTCTTTGCCAGATGGCGGGTGAACAGGACATTGGCGAGTTTGCTCTGTCTGTAGCTCTGCAGAGGAGTGTAGCTCCTACGATTGAAGAACAAGTCCTCCACATCCACCACCCCTAGAACAAGACCTGGTTTAGTCCTCTTTTCATCTTGGTTCAACTTTATTTTTTTCACTTAAAGCTTCTCTATGGAGCTAGTGAATGTTAAAAAGACAAAAAGAGAGAGAGAGATCCACACTAATCCCACATGAATCACATGTGCAAAGGATCCATCTACTGTATGTTCCTCAAAGTCCTGCTGTCTGTGCTGGAGCAGTGTCAGAGAGAAGAGACAGAGAAGAGACCAGTGAGAATGCACCCAGGTCCCACAGAGAGAGACGGGGCTGCAGGAACAGCTCCTGTGAGCCAGGTCCTCAGACAGTGATCGTTTCCTTCTCTGACAGCTGTGCCTCACACCCAGGGCCCTCGCAGCAGCTTTGACCCTGTGGGATCTGGGCCCCAAACCTGGGCTCAAAGCAAATCACTTTGATACACCTCCTCCCCCCTCCTCCAGACACCTCCTCCCCCCTCCTCCAGACACCTCCTCCTTCTCCTCCAGACACCTCCTCCTTCTCCTCCAGACTCTCCTCCTCCTTCCAGACACCTCCTCCCTCCTCCAGACACCTCCCCCCTCCTCAGACACCTCCTCCCCCTCCTCCAGACACCCTCCCCCTCCTCCAGACACCTCCTCCCCTCCTCCAGACACCTCCTCCTCCCCTCCAGACACCTCCTCCCCCTCCTCCCAGACACCTCCTCCCCCTCCTCCAGACACCTCCCCCTCCTCCAACTCCTCCCTCCTCCTCCAGACACCTCCTCCCTCCTCCAGACACCTCCTCCCCTCTCTCCTCCTCCAGACACCCTCCTCCCCCTCCTCCAGACACCTCCTCCCCCTCCTCCTCCAGACACCTCCTCCCCCCTCCTCCAGACACCTCCTCCCCCTCCTCCAGACCTCCTCCCCCCCTCCTCCAGACACTCCTCCCTCCTCCTCCAGACACCTCCCCCCTCTCCCTCCAGACACCTCCCCCTCCCCAGCCTCTCCCTCCTCCAGACACTCCTCCTCCTCCTCCTCTCCTCCAGACACCTCTCCCCCCTCTCCAGACACCTCCTCCCCCCTCCTCCAGACACCTCCTCCCCCTCCTCCAGACACCTCCTCCCCTCTCCCCAGACACCTCCTCCCCTCCTCCAGACACCTCCTCCCCCTCCTCCAGACACCTCCTCCTTCTCCTCCAGACACCTCCTCCTCCTCCTCCAGACACCTCCTCCCCCTCCTCCAGACACCTCCTCCTTCTCCTCCAGACACCTCCTCCTCCTCCACCCTCCTCCTTCCCTCCAGACACCTCCTCCTCCTCCTCCAGACACCTCCTCCCCCTCCTCCAGACACCTCCTCCCTCCTCCAGACACCTCCTCCCTCCTCCAGACACCTCCTCCTCCTCCTCCAGACACCTCCTCCTTCCCCTCCAGACACCTCCTCCTTCTCCTCCAGACACCTCCTCCTTCTCCTCCAGACACCTCCTCCCCCTCCTCCAGACACCTCCTCCTTCTCCTCCAGACACCTCCTCCTTCTCCTCCAGACACCTCCTCCCTCCCTCCTCCAGACACCTCCTCCTTCTCCTCCAGACACCTCCTCCTTCTCCTCCAGACACCTCCTCCCCCTCCTCCAGACACCTCCTCCCCCTCCTCCAGACACCTCCTCCTTCTCCTCCAGACACCTCCTCCCCCTCCTCCAGACACCTCCTCCTCCTCCTCCAGACACCTCCTCCCTCCTCCAGACACCTCCTCCCTCCTCCAGACACCTCCTCCCCTCTCCTCCAGACACCTCCTTCCTCCTCCAGACATCTCCTCCCTTTCTCCAGACACCTCCTCCCTCTCCCCAGACACCTCCTCCCTCTCCCCAGACACCTCCTCCCTCTCACCAGACACCTCCTCCCTCTCCCCAGACACCTCCTCCCTCTCCCCAGACACCTCCTCCCTCTCTCCAGACACCTTCTCACCTCCTTTGTGGGCGATGGAGGAGACGGTGATGATGCGACTGGGGGCAGAGCTTTTGAGCTTTGGCAGAAGCAGATTGGTCAACAGGAAGTGACCCAAATGATTGACAGCCAACTGCATTTCGAAGCCATCCTCCGTCAGCCACTTAGGACACATCATGACTCCTAAAGGAAACAAGGACACATCATGACTCCTCATTGACACTATAGCAGTTATAGTGATGTATTTGGGGCCAAGTTCCATTCCATCTGGAATAAAAGTATGATAGAAACCAAAGAGCTGATCGGGAGCAAGGCTGTTGAATAAAAACCCCAGGAGCAGGTTCAAACCAACATTGTCACTCGCGCCCTTCCTCACTTCCTGTTTGGAACTAGGATGTAGGGCAGACATGTCCAAACTATACCTTTGGTTAGGAATAGGGTGTAGGAGACACAGACCTGCGTTGTTGACGAGCAGGTTCACCCTCTCCTCCGTCTGCAGAACCTCAGAGCAGAACGTTCTGACGGAGAACAGAGAGGCCAGGTCCAGATGTCTCACCACCACGTTCCCATTTCCTGTGGAAGTACGGATCTCCTCTGCCGCCGCCTCACCGCGCACCAGGTCCCGGCACGCCATGATGACACGCGCCCCTGCAGCCAATCAGAGAGGAGAGAGAGGAGAGAGCCAATCAACGAATAAGCAGAAGGCCTATCATTTTATTTTACATCTGTTTCTGAAACATTATAAACCAGTGAGTTATAAACCAAAGCATTTTTGCTGAATCTTATGTTTTTAGTGTGCTTTTTGGACTTAAAACCTCCATGTTATTCATATTAGTTAGCATGTAGCTGGTTCACCTCTGCAATGTCCTTAAACTCTTAAATCTGATTTTTTGGAAAAGTCTGTGGGGAAAATTTATGGAAAATGTGCACTTCCAGAACAGACGTGGGAGGTCACTGGTGAGCTCCATTCCCACACACGGAAGGTTTGGTCACTACAGCTTTAGAACAGCTCTTTTTTGTGTGTTCGCAATAAATGTTTTCTTAACAGATGAAAACAGTGTGGCAGTGATGCACTGTGCAGGAACGGCCACAGCAGAACAAATGAGGTAGAGTAATGCAGCTTGAAAGGCTCTAGATCAGTGTTTCCCAATGTTATTTTCTGGGGACCCATATTTTAAAAGTCACAAACCTTCTGACCCAATTCAATAGACATTATTCATAAATCACAAAATAAAGGTTTGATCATTATTGATCATTAATGAGGATATTTTACTGTTGACTGAGTGATCGTGTCTCTGAACTATTTGTATTACTCAAGTTTTATACAATGAAAAACAGTGATTGAAGCAGCAATAAAAGGATCCATGAGTCGCCTATTTGGACATTAAATGTAGAACATTTCTTTTTCTTTCAACATTTAGTTGAACCTAGCCACGCTGGCACCACCTGCCTCCACTCAGTTTCATTTCTCTCCAATGACTAGGTCAGGAATCAGAATAATACACTAGACGGTTTGCAAGAACCCTGGAAGTGCGAGTCCAGGCACCAGCCAATCAGAGAAGACACAGACTGTGTTGGCAACGTTTCCCGAGATCGAGGATTTAAAGCCGGAACAAAAAGCATGTTTGGAGAATTTCATCAAGGGGAAAGACGTTATTGTCCTTCTTCCTACGGGATTTGGGAAAAGCTTAATATAGCAGTTAACACCGTTAGCGGCGCATTACATATGTGCCTACCAAACGGCAGCAATTGGTTAAATAAAAAAAAGTCGAGTGAACAAATTCTAATGCAGTGAGGTCACTTCATGAAGTGAAACCCGCTGATGAATCAGACAAAAATGAACCAGTAATATTAAAACAAAATAGTCAAACTAGTAGGGATGTGATGATATCCATCTCTCTCGGTACGAAATTATTACAATATGCATCTCATGGTACGATATTTATTGCAATATTTTGGAAAGACTAATACAATTGTAGATGGGAGTCTTTTTTGCTTTTAAAATACCCTGACAAGATTTTGGTGTGAATCATCACTGTCATAATCCCAAGAATTCAAGTAAAAAACATTCCCTCATGTTTTCTGTGCTGAAGTGGATCATGGGATATGTAGTTGCTTATGTTTATAAGCTGTTGCTACTATAAAATAAGGCATTTAAGCAGAGGAACTTATGATTTGATATATTGTGACATCCCACCGTATTATTGTGAGACTTTTGACAATATGATATCATGATATTTCGGTTATTGTTACATCCCTAAAAACTTGTCAAAATAATTACAAAAAGATTAGAAATGATCCAAAACATGTCTTAACATTTCAACAGTTCTAATGAGATAGGTGAACCTGTCTGTGTTTTTGCAGCGTGTTCCATTCTGGGTGCAGAAGGAGAGCACAACACACAGATCAGGCAACCCAAAAGAAAACCTCTTGCAACCCACCTGAGGGACATGACCCAGTCTTTGGGAAACAATGCTCTATATTACATAAAACAGACTTAAAATGCTGTAACCTCTTCAAAAACACTGATGTTGTGTTTTGTTTCATTCACACATGTTTAAGCAACACCTTATTATGAGTCTGTCTATCTCTAAAGCTCAAAATGCTCTGTTCTACCTTGTGATGTCATGAAGTGGGAGTTTTCAAGTAAACAGCTCCTATTACTAGGGATGTAACAGTATCGTAATAATGTACCGTCAAAAGTCTCACAATGATATCGAGGTGTCACAATATATCAAATTATAAAATCCTTTACTTAAATGCATTGTTTTATTGTACCAATAGCTAATAGACATCTGGAACTACATATCCCATGATTCATTTCAGCACAGACAACATGAAGAAATGCATTTTTACTTTAATTCTTGGGATTATGTCAGTAATAATTCACATTAACCTAACCTAACCCTAACCCTAACCCAGAGCATTTTCTGTTTGAGAGAAGAACTCACTGTGAACTGTTTGTGATGTGGAAACTACATTAGAACATCAGAAAATAGCCTGTAGTTTAATTTGTAAAATATATATCTGACTCCAGAGTGGAATGATTTAAAATCCCTTGTGTGCCCCTGTGTGACCCCAGTGTGACCCCAGTGTGACCCCTGACCTCTCTGGGCGAAGTCTCGGCACGTCTCTTTGCCGATGCCGGTGTTCGCTCCCGTCACAACAGCCGTTTTACCGTCAAGTCTCACAGAACATCTGCATCTGCCACCGGCGATCCACCGCCTCAGAACACACACACCTGACGACACACAGCACACGTCAGGGATCTCTGTCCACACACACACGAACAGATGACCTGTCTCCAAATGTCTACAGTGACACTCAGATTCAGTCCTGGTTCAGCCCTGGTCCAGTCTTGGTTCAGTCCTGGTTTGGTCCTGTTCTGATTTAATCTTCTCAATGGCAGATGGTGGAACAGTGATGTAACAAATGACATAACAGCTTCTCAGACATAAACAACGTATACTGGTCCTGTTTTAGATCTATTTTAGACCTGGTTTAGACCTGGTTTAGATCTGGTTTAGGCCTGGTTTAGTCCTGGTTCAGTCCCTACTTCAGTCCTGGTTCAGTCATTACTTCAGTCCTGGTTTAGTTCTGCTTCAGTCCTGGTTCCATTCTGTTTCAGTCCTGGTTCTTACAGATGACGGTGACCCCCAGAGCAGTCCCCCAGCGTGACAGTGGTTCAGTCCAGGCTGGGACACCTGTTTTGGGCCAGGGCAGGATCAGGAAGCCCCCAGGTCCCTGGTTCTGCTGGAGCTCCATAGTGTGACTGAGAACAAACTCAGAGGTTGTACTCAGACCTCAGAGGATTACAGAGGATTAGAACTGATCTGATCCCAGGCCTGTGTGCAAGACACAGGAGACTATACGCCACAAGGCAGTCATGGCACTGGTGCGATGAAATGTCCCACAGTTGGGCTTTTACTCCGTTCTATTGAAGTATGTCCTCAGAAACTTCCCTGGCGTTTTGTAGTTGTTTCTGTAATCCTGCCACTGCTGGTACATGTCAGCAGTGTGATCATAGACCCTATATATGAGTGGACAGAGCTAACGCTGTAGCCGCCGCACATAGGAAGTTCTCCAGGAGGAACTTCCGGCTCCTTCTGACTCTGGCTCCAATGGACTTACATTGGACTTACTCTCTCTGTACCTGCTGCAGTGAGCCTTGTCATTTTGGTCTTAAAATGTTCATATTAACCCGCTCTACATGATCCTGAATTTTTTTTCCACAATTTTGTCCATCAAAAAAATCTTATTATAGAGCTTGGCTCCAGATTCGCTCCTGTAACCGTGAGCATCACAAGCCTCTTTTGAGCGGCGCTGAATGCTCTGGGTGACGTCACACTCACTTAGACCACTTCTTTAATACAGTCTATGAGCGTGATCCATGAAGCTCTTCTGGGGTTTTAAAGTGCACTCATCTTCAGAGCATATTGCCAAATCATTGTCACTAAACCCTGAAAGTAGCTATTGTTTTGGGCTTCATTTGAGCTGCTTCACTCTTCGATGTGACAGTTTGCACCCACAGAAGAACAGAGCTTTAACCACATCACTGCAGCGCTCGTCCTCCTCCCTCCCATCAGTCACCAGCACGTGTGTATATCGTCTGTGTATCTATAATCTGTGTCGACAGTGTACTGATTCTGAGTGTATTAACAATGTATTAACAGTGTATTAACGGTGTAATAACAATGTAATAACAGTGTAATAACAGAGTACACGCGCTGTAATCCCTGTGCTTGTGCACTATGACAGACAAAGAGGAGGGGGCGTGCAGAGGGAGGAGTCAGCCCGGCTGTGTCTGCTTCTTCCTGAGCTTGCCTCCTGTTCAGAGCCTCTCTGGGCTCGGTGCTGCTCGGGTTTCTCTGTCCTCTTCCTCCTTATGAAGTGGAAACGTGTTATTCAAGCCTCAAAGTGAAACATTTGAGGCGCTGCGTGTCTGTGCAGCTCACACCGTCCGCCATGTTCTGTGACGTCAGCGCGCTACTCCCACCCCCGCGTCTCAACAAAAACAAAATGGCGGCTGCTGCTGTTCCGTCACAGACAGAGCCCCACGCGCCCCCGTGCCCGCGCCTCGTCCCGTGACCCGCACCGGCCCGCGGGCCGTGAGAGGCCGTGCGGGGCCGTGCTCCGGGCTCCTAGAGCTCCGCAGCGCCGGTATACCCGTTAAACCCGCTTTAAACCAGAGCCACGGAGAAGACCCGCAACACAGGGAGGACGTGACGTAGACCACGCACAGACTATCTCAGCCAATCAGAACGCAGAGAGCTGCGGCGCAGTGAAAGCAGCGCGCCTGAAACTGACGCAGAAACTGCGCTCAAATCAGGTAAAGATTCTGTTGTTCTGGAGCTGTTCGGCCCGGCTCTGCTCCCCGGTTCGGTCCGCACAGTATGGGCTCACACAGGGATCTACACACCGGGGCTATCGGACCAAACACGCCCCCGGAGGCTCCAGCCACAGCGGACCAATGGCTGAGGTCTGACCGGGCAGAGGCGCGCTGTTCCGGGCAGACGGAGGCAGGAGGACCCGGGGAGCGCGCTGTTCCGGGCAGACGGAGGCAGGAGGACCCGGGGAGCGGAGGAGCTGGCGTGTCCTCGGCTCCAGTCAGACCAGAGTCTTCTGATTTACTCCTGATTTTCTGTTTAATCATTTGTCCTAACACCGGGACGCGCGCGGATGGTTCTGAGTCTGTAGTGCTGCAGATTTAAATGGGGGAAAGTCCTGATACTATTTCATTTAAACAAGAGATTGAGACAAAATTGTTTTTTTTTTACTACAACATAACAGCATGTGATGAACAGTGAATTTCTAAAAGATAAAAGTAAAATGAAACGGAAAATGGAAACTTTCATGTATTGTTTTATTAAATGTGTGTGACACCGGGACATCACAGGACAGTAGATGACCTAACTCTTGCTAATTTCTCTCTAAAGTTTGATTTGCTGCAGTCCTCTTTTTGATGTTTCGTATAATTTTTAAATTTATGTTTGTTTCTTTGTCAGAGATGGACACACAGCTGTTTATGGAGTGTGAGGAGGAGGAGCTGGAGCCATGGCAGCAGGTTGATGACACTGTGGAGGAAGATGATGACTTTATGGACTACACCCGACCAGGTCTGAACCAGAAATAACCCTGTCTGAACTAGAACCAGGGCTAAACTAAACCAAGCTTTGAGCCCTCCCTAGCTTCGCTCTAGCAGCTATTGATCTCATTAATCAGAACTGCTTGTTTTTGACATCACACACTGGGACGACCTAGGCCAGCATTCAGGAAGTAATGCGAAGGAAAAAAATGTATGGGGTCATTCCACACCAAATCTCCAAATGCCCCCACTTGACCATCTCAGATTTGACTAAAAAAATTCTAGGAGGTTCACACACACCGTTTTAGAAAGACAAGATGTCTCTTTTTAACATATCCAAAATTTTTGATGGTGGTCTGCCTTATTTTTTTCAAAATCAATTTTTGAAAATCGTGTTCACATTAATGTACGTTTGTGTCATGAAATCAGGTTGTTTTCTTAGCTTCTGAAAACTTTCTTAGCTTCTGTTTTCTTGGCTTCTGCATAGTCCATGACTGATGTAAATTAATGCAAACACCACATTTTCAAGAATTTATTTTGCAAAAATAAGGCCAAAAACCATCACAAATTTTTGATATGTTAAAAACAGACATCTAGTCTTTCTAAAACGGTTCATTTTATGTTAATGGGTTTTGTCATTTCTTTGGTATAACATGATAAATATGACACCAAATGTATTTTTTTTTTCCATTTTGAACACTTAATATCTTGTAGAGCGTTCATCACAAAGGGTCAGTTTTAAAATACAAAATACAAAGCATGTGTGGGAAGGTGTATGTTCAATATCAAACCTCTGTCTTTGAAATTGCACTTTCCACAGTCCTTCAAAGATGCCCTCATATTTGAAGAGTAGAGTTTTTGAGCAAATTCAAGCCCCCAGATATCTGTGACACATCAAAAGCACATGTGTAAAAGTCCAGATTCTACAAGAACTTTTGCCAAATTTTAACCACTGAAAATTTGAAGGACCGACTTAAATAGTTTTTTAGATACAGCAATCTAAAAGTGACTCCTTAGAAAACTCTGCTCAAAACATGTCAGGGGGGAGTTGACAAGATATTTTTAATGACAAAACTATAAGGAGTTGGGAGCTAAAATCTGGGACTTTTCCTATTGGAAAGTGTGTGAAGCTCCTAGAATTTTTTCAGTCAAATTTGAGATGGTTGAGCGGGGGCATTCGGAGTGGAATGACCCTATGGCATTTTGCTCTAATGAGCACAGGCCTCTGAAAACCACACAGTGCTATCTTTGGTTCAGCTTCAGATGCTTCCATGCCTAAAGACTCATGCCTCACACACATGTGCACCATTATATCTGAGTATTTAAATCTTTACATATTAGAATGGGTATTTAGTGTAATGCAGTGTGATTTAAAACTCTGAATTCACTCCAGACATGAGCTGCCTAAGATTAGTGTGTTAAAGAGTCTGCCTGCCTGTCTAAACCAGAACTAAACCAGAATGAAAAAAAGACTAAAACCAGGACTAAACCAGGGTCTAAAATGTCTGATAGTAACTTGTCTTTGCATGTTTATTCAGTGGAGGACTCCCCTGACTCCTCCCCTCCGCACGAGTCTCCACCCCCAGCTCCACCCCCTGCACCTGCACCTAAAGGTGAGTTACCAAAAGTTCCAAAACTTTGTTTTAAAAATATTTACAACATTATTGTAAATATGTAAAATTCCATCATAGACTTGATAAATACATATGAACCTACGGGGTCGAATTTGATTGCTGTTAATTGCTGCTACCCAAAATGAACAAACATTTAAAAAAGGGTCAAATTTAACCTCAAAAGCCCAGAGTGCCACTTCTGGTCCCTGCATAGAGACACGTAGTGGATGAATATTGAACTGACACGAACCAGAGTGGTAGTGACAAGATGGTTGACCACATGGTATTTTTGTTGACCTGGAAACCTACCCAAACAAAATCGTCTTCTCAGCAACCAGTGGTAGGTAAAATTGTGTATTTTTTGTTAATCTATTTAGTATTAGCCTGCAGAATGCCTAGAAGTACTTTTTATATTCTTTTTGGATAAATTAGCGACTTCAAAAATGATGGGCCAAAAATGACCCTCTGGGTGTTTGGGTGAAAAAATGACGGGTCAGAAATGACCATTTGGTTCTTTGATTGACTTTGTAGATGGAGCATGGTGACAGTCCTGTATTTGTGTGAAAAGTGCTCTATACATAAAATTTGATTGATTGATATAGAGGTCTAAAGCCATGCATGTAAATACATTACTATATAAAGAGAGGTCTGTATTCTGTTGATTGATTTCATTCAATACCAAGTGTCTGTGGATAGATTTTACTAAGTTACCAGGTAGTACAGGGCCAGAGACTAATAAAGTTAATGCCTATTATCTTTTCAGGGAATATGGCCGCTCCCTTTTCAGCACAGGGAAAGGAACAGAGAAAGTTCACTGTAAAACAAGTATTAGAGCAACTTGAAACTGATGATAGTGACTTTGGCCTTGAATTGGACAGTAATAGTGATTCTGATGAATTGTTTCAACCAGAAGAAAGTGATGATGACGAATCTTCTGCCCAAGACAATGACTCGTCCAGTGATGAAGATGTGCCATTTTCCAAGACTACTAGCCCACAGATGGAGCCAAATTGTGCCGCAAATACTTACAGGTGGCGAAAGAAAGGCTTTGAGGCGCCTGACGTGAGCTTTCAAGGTGAACAGGTTGAGTCTTACCAGGATGCCACAACAGACACGCCACTGGTTTACTTTCGACGCTTCATTTCCCTTGATATGTTGGAAAATATTGTTGAGCGTACCAATCGACACAGTGTTCAAAAGTATGGGAAATGTGTAGACACTTCAGTAAAGGAAATAGAACAGGTTCTAGGAATGTATCTCAGGATGGGATTAGTTAAAATGTCTGGAGTACGTCAGTACTGGGAAAGTGAAGTTCGTTATGGGCCTGTGGCAGACGTAATGAGTCGCAACCGATTCAGCCTGCTACTCTCTGTCATCCACTTTGTTGACAACGAAATGGCCAGTGAGGAAGTAAAAAAGGATCAACTTTGGAAACTGAGACCATTTTTGGATTCTTTTCGGAGACGATGTCTGACTATAGCTCCTCGCCAAAAACAGTCCATTGGTGAGATGTTGGTGCCATACAAAGGGAAATTTAGTGGCATAAGGCAATACATCAAAAGGAAGCCACAGCCTTGGGGTTTGAAAGTGTGGGCACGCTGCTGTGTCACTGGCTTCCTGCACAATTTTGACATATATCAGGGAAAAGGTGATGGTAATAAACAAAAAGGGAAGAGTCAGTTAGGAATTGGTGGAGACATTGTGTTGAATCTATGCGAATCACTTGCAGAGAAAGTACATTTCCAGATTTTCGCTGACAGTTTCTTCACTTCGATGCCCCTGATAGAGAAATTATTGGCAAAGGGAATCTACTACACAGGAACTGTGCGAAAAAAACGTATGTCTAAGTGTAACCTGATAACGGACAAAGACCTCTCCAAGAAAGGCCGTGGATCCTATGATTACCGAATCGAGTCCAACACCAACACTGTTTGTTTGAAATGGCAAGACATGAAAGCAGTCAGTTTGATGTCAACGTATGCTGGACCAGAGCCTTTGGGAAAAGCTTGGAGCTGGGACAAGTCCAAAAAAGAGTACACCAACATTGATCAGCCGAACATCATCAAGGAATACAACGCTTCCATGGGAGGAGTTAACATGCTGGATGCACATCTTGCACGCTGTAAATTTCCCATTAGGACCCGTCGTTGGTATATGATACTTTTCTGGCATTTCTTGTCTGTTGCAGTGATCAACGCATGGCTTCTTTACCAGCGTGACTGTGAGGCACAGGGAATCACAAGATCAAAAGTACTCAAACTTCGCAAGTTTCAGGGTTTGGTTGCTCAAGGCCTGATTGATGTTGGAACAGCAAGACAGCGAGGTGCACCACCTACTCCTGGCCCCTCCTCCCCACCACCACCAAGATTTGTTCGATTTTATCAGAGTGCAGATGTTCGTTTCGACCAAATCGCCCATTGGCCCGTCAAGGAGGAAAATCGCCGTCGATGTGCTGTGTGCAAGGACCTCAAAACTGAAATGTACTGTGAAAAATGTGCAGTTCCTCTTTGCATCAACAAAAAAAGAAATTGTTTCAAAGACTACCACAATGTCTAGTGTGATTTCCTCTCTACAGAACAGATTTTTGGGTAAGCAAAGACCCATGGTGTTGGTTTTTATCAGTCGTGAGTCTGTGTTTTCTTGTTTTGGTTGGCCAAAGTCTGTTTGTACATTAGAAATCCAGTTTTAACATGCAACAAATAAAGCAAAAAAAATTTTTGGTGGCATTGATGGTGTTTGTTATTGTGATTCTTTGAAATGATACGCCTAAAGCCCAATGGGTCAGATTTGGCCCTAATCCTAAATTAGGAATAAAGGGTTCAAATTTAAAAAGTGGATATTTTGGTGTTCAGTGAACTTATAGCAGCCATTTAATGCATAGTTCATAATTTTCCAAAGGGTTCTTAGGTTCCTTAGTTTCTCCAGGGTTAAATGTCTCTCTCAATTTTATCTCTGGTCCAGCTCCGGTCCTGGTTCAGACTCAGACACGGTCCCTCCCCGTCTCTATGCCGACTGCTCCCGTCACTATGGCAACACTAAACATCAACAAACCCACACCCACCATCCTCAAGACCACGCCCACCACGAAAGCCCCACCCATCGTCCAGCAGGCCACGCCCCTCATTCTTTCGCAGCTTCCTCAAGGAACTTTCCTCGTTCCAAGCACCAGACCCCAACAGCTGCTCATCACCACACAGGTATTAGACGAGGACTAAGTTTACACTGGTACTACACTTGTGCTACACTGGAACTGCACTGGGACTAGACTGAGACTAAAACAGGGACTAAAACAGGGACTAAAACAGGGACTAAAACAGGGACTAAAACAGGGACCAAAACAGGGACTAAAACAGGGACGAAACTGGGTCTAACCCAAGTCTTAACTGAATTTAAGATGGGCTGTTGCTCCTGGGACTAAACCAATGCTCTTATTCCAGGGCTTCCCGATGGTGAACTCAGGAACTCCTCTTGTCTTAAATCTTCCTCCGGGTTCCACTGTCCTGCAGCCTGGTCAGACCCTCGTGAAACCGGGCGAGGTCCTAAAACCGGCTCAAACTCTCTTCAAACCGGGTCAGCCGCTCACCCTGATCCAGTGTAAGCTCCTCCTCTATAACCCACTCTGTACATGCTGTAATGTTATTGTAACTCGTGTTTGTGCTCCACAGCGCCCTCTGTGGGTCAGATTGTTCGTCCTGTGACACCTGTGCGAGGCCCCGCCCCTTCCGCTGCACCTGGACTCATGCACCTGACAATCCACACCAGCACACCTGAACGAGGTGAGCAAACAGCCAATCGCAGTGCAGCATCACCTTAAGGTTCATATCTCTGTAATTACTGGGCCTTTCCTCATGAAACAAGAACTGGCACAAAGTTAAACATCTTCCCTGGCAGTAAAAATAAACAAACAAACTCAGATCAGATTTGTTTTTCATAATAATAATAATAATTTTATTATTATATTATTATTATTATTATTATTATTATCTGTTGATTGATTGGTCGTATCTCTGTGTATCTGACCCAAACTGCTCTCACAACTTTACATCTACACTGGGAGTTCATGCAAAAACTGCTATTAGTATTCAGAAGCTCTGTGTTTGTAAAACTGATTAAATTTATGAATCATAAGTTTAACTTGCCTTTTTACAGGTAAATACCATAAAATACCAAATCTTCCAAGAGCAAAGGGATGAGGAACAATAGTATGTTGTACTTGTTTTGGGTGAATATAGCATTTTCCAAACAATAAAAGACAACATGGTGATCCACCTATGTTATGTGCTACAGGTAATAGCCCATAGATGTAAAATACCTCCTGTTTAAACACTTCCATGGTTCCTGTTTTCCAGTGGCTCCAGTTGGCAGTGTTTCGTCCGTCTCTAGCCCCGCCCTCCCTGCCGGCTCGACTAATGGCGTGCCTCGCTCCATCACCATTTTGTCGCCGCCCAAAGCTGCCCCTACACGACCCTCCCCACCCACACCTCCACAGCCCCCACTGCCCCCCTCGATCTCCATCTTGAAGTCTGGTCCTGCCCACGTCTCCTCCTCTCCCGCCAAGGTCACGCCAAGCCCAGCCCATGTGACCATTGCCCCAAATCGCACTGTAGTCACCTTCTCTCAGCCGCGCCTCGTCACCATGCCCCCCTCTAGCCCCTCTTTGTCCTCTGGCCCCTCCCTTTCCTCTGACCCCACCCTCCCCTCTGACCTCTCTGACCCCTCCCGCGTCATCATGAGCGTTGAAGAGTTCTATTATGGATCGCACGATGGAGACGAGCGACTCAGAGACAGCCACAAATACACGGCAATGTTGGTCCAGTTCCCTTGCACAGTCTGCCCCCACCAGGCCAACAACAACCTCAGGTAAAATCCACATCTGTACATACCTCTGTACATACCTCTGTACATACCTCTGTACATACCTCTGTACATACCTCTGTACATACCTCTGTACATACCTCTGTACATACCTCTGTACATACCTCTGCACATACCTCTGCACTAGAGATGCGCGGATTGCGGTTACAACCGCGGTATCCGCGGTTAATCCGCGGGTCGGGCGGATGACGTGACGAAAAATTATATTTTAATTAAATTCGGGCGGGTGGCGGTTTAACTACTAAAAAAAAAAATAAATAAAGTTATTGTTAGTATTGTTACCTACATCTGAAAAGACGAGTCTCATTGTCTATGCTTGTAGTATGAAGTGTACGTCATATCCTTAATTAGCCCATTTGACCTCGTTTTTATGTTCTGAAGGTTAAGGTTGTGTCGGGTTATTGATAGCCTAAGGTTTACGAGGCACATATTATATGCAGCTTATTTTATTATCTTATCTTATTTTATTATTTCTAATTTATTTCAGCTGTTTGCCAACACGTAAGTGGCTATAGGGCCATATTTATTTAGTTATGCATTTTTGTTGTTGTTTCGATATCAGATATATTTTAAAACACATTATAGCGTAGACTGCCACTCGGGGTATTTAAAACTTAAAGAAAGACCGATGGAGTGAGGCTATGACTTTGAAATAACATCGGGCAATGGCAGAATGTTCTGAATGTAACAACATCCAACGAAGGCAAGAAGGTTCAAAAACAGCCTAGTCGGAAAACGTTGTCAGTTAATTAGCTGCGCAAGAAAACCAGGTAAGTTTGGGGTTGTTACGGACAATTAAGAATGCGAACATACACGCTGAGCGAATTTTGGAATGAATGAGCTATAGTTTGCATTTTTATCGAGGCTCCTTAGTTTGTTTGCTGTATGATTGTTCTAAAATCAATCGGCGGATGGCGGGCGGGTGCGGTTTTGAAAACCTTCGGTGCAAAATGGATAGCGGGCGGATGATGAGTTTTGTGTCGCGGTTGCGGATGAAAAAATAGCCCATCCGCGCATCTCTACTCTGCACATACCTCTGCACATGCATCTGTACATACAGTAGCTATCCCACTAACCACCGTGTTCCAAACAAACAGTGGCTCCATTTCACTGTCTGTTAAAAAGAACATGGCCCCTTTTCTCTGTACCTGCTGCTGTCAGCCTTGTCATTCAGACCTTCAAATTGCCACGTTTACATGAGAGCTTTAATTCTGAATAAAAATTATTTCATTCTGAATTAAAGTTAATTCCGCTTTAAAAAGACCATGTATATACTTAATACCTAAAAATTATTATTCGTAATGAAACTTAATTGGATGGTTTATTCCGATTTTAAAGCCGAATGAATTTATTCCTCGATTATGTAAATGTTTATTCTTCTTCAAAATACATTACCGGTCAAAGGTAACACCCTAATTTTTCCAGTTTTTTATTGCAATTCAAGTCGTGCAAGTCCAGTGAAGAGCTTGAAATGGTACAAAGGTAAGAACTGAACAGACAGGGTTTTAAAAAAAAAAAAAGATAAAAGAACAAAACACAAGTCCAAGTTCTGCCAAAACTACCTCAGGAAAAAAGAACAAGATGGTAAAACTTGAAAACCTGGAGTGTCCAGCACAGTCTCCAGACTTGAACCCCATCGATCTGGTTTGGGATGAACTAGGACAGAAGAGTGAAGCAACTTACAAGTGCCACAGTATGGGAACTTCTGAACAGACTTGGGAAGAACTTTCTGAACAATGTTTGATTTCTATTGTAAAAAGAACGAGCAACGAGTGTGTTCAGCTGTTCTATCTGCCAAAGGTGGACACACACATCAATCAAAAGTTTAGAATACGTTTTGGTCAACAGTAAACAGTAAAAAATTGTAAAAAAGTGTGGTGTTTGAAAACTTTTGACCAGTAGTGTAATTTTGGTCGTTCAGCACATGCTAGTCGGGTCGCCTTTCTGACGTGATCTGGACCATCCGGTTCCACCAGTTCTGGCTTCGGACTTTCATCCACGTCTCTTTGGATTTGTGAGCAGGATGCGGGAGTGGACTGAGGTTTAGCAGCCTCACACTCAGTTTCTCCTCAGCTCACAGACTTAAAACTTGATGAGACAGTTCTCCAGCTGCTGCGCAATTATCGTCGGAACGACTGTGAAAAAAGTTTGGATCATGTTTGTGTCCACGGTGTAACGAGAAACTGAGATGACAGAAAAGCTGGTAGTAGCAGAAGTGTTTTTTTTTTTTCCGTAGTCGTAAATACATTCATATTCCTGTCCAATCAGAACCCTTCCCCACTCCCAGACGCTGAGCCCAATTAAATAAAGGCGATTTAACATGTTTTCCATGTAAACCTCAATTCGGAATTATGATTTCCATGTAAACTCGAAGGAGAATATTTCAATTCCAATCTATTTAATTCAGAACAATTCATTCAGAATTAAAAAACATGTAAACATGGCCAATGTTGGTTTGAACCTACTCTGATTCTTGATTAAGGTACAAAATCCACTATTTTGTTCCTAAATCAAGATCTGGACATAACAAACCAGTCAGGTGCCTTCTTTCCCAGAGGTCGCTCCCACTACCGAAAGCAACAGGTTTGATTGACAGCTAATTTGGTTCTTGTTTTGACCGGTTTTGTTTCACTCCCTGATTTGGTCCCAGGTTGATGCAGCACATGTTGACTCACTGGAAGCCGGCGAATCGCGGTGAAGACAAAAAGAGCTGTAAATTCTGCTCAGCCCCAGAGCTGCAGACTCATCTGGACAAGGTGCACGGGCCCAACCCCTCCAACAGTAAGAGCCAATCACAGCGCACCACACAGCTTCAAGGACAGGGTCAGAAGAGCAGAGTAGAGGGGATCAGAGGGGGCAAAGGAGTGAGGGTCAAAAGAGCAGAGGAGAGAGGGTGGAGCAGAGCATTGAGTTGTTTTACGTTTCAGGTCTGTGTAGGATCTGTGAGTGGGCGTTCGATAATGAGCCTGTGTTTTTAAACCACATGAAAACGAACCACAAACCAGGAGAGATGCCCTACATCTGCCAGGTACTGTCTCTGCCACTACTGCAAGTACTACTACTAATACTACTTGTACTACTGCTACTATTACTACCAGAAATATCTACTACTGCTAATACTACTACTGCAACTCCACTGTTGTCCGCTGTGAGTCATGTGCGAGTTACAAGGAGGTTGTGGGTTCTGTTCCAGGTGTGCTGTTATCGTTCCTCGTTCTACTCAGATGTGATCCAGCACTTTGCGACTTTCCACAGAGAAACACGATTCCTCCTCTGTGTCTTCTGCCTCAAAGTCCTAAAGAACTCTGAAAACTACCAGCAGCACCTGCTACGCCACCAGGTGAGAGCGGGACTGCAGCTTCTGACCTCTGACCTCTGACCCTGAGCCCCCTGACCAAACTGAAAGCGAAAATCACAAAGTGAAGTACCATCATTTCCTCCACAAACAAAAAATCCTGTGTAATTTTGCAGAAACAAACTGCTATACTTGTAGTTTAGGGCTGAACAAACATGTTCTAATGTCATTATGTAGTAGTTCATCAGTTCATAGTTCAGTTTAAAAATTCTTTACATGTTTAAATCACATTTTAAACTTTGAATAGAATTCTAATTATTAAAACAGAAAAAAAACACAATTAGATATTTTTCTGAATTGTTCAGCCCCGCTCCCTGTAGAAACACATAGAAGGTGCCGGTGCTGTGAGCCTATGGAGCGCGTACTGATGGAATGGCCTCCATACGGGGACAGGACACTTGAGCATAAGAATTAGTGCAATTAGAGCTCCACCAAAAGTCATGTTTCACTTTTCCCACATATTTTAGAGCAGGAGTCTCCAACCTGTAGCTTGGGAGCTACCAGTAGCTCTCCACCCGTCCAAGTAGCTCACCAAGCCATTTTGGAATTATCCCATTGTGGTTTATTACATGCCTGTTATCATTGTAAATGTGTCATTTTGAAGCCCAACTTTGCGCTTTAATAAATGGACAGTGGTTTATGTTTTATAGGCATTTAACTGTACCCAAAGACTCACTTTCTTATAATCATCTCAATTTCTTGTGGCTACTAAAATGTGTAGCTCTCTCTCTGTTATTTTTGTTTTGTAAATGAGCTCACCGGAGACCCCAGTTTCAGATTGTATAAAAACACTCTCTATGTATATATTTTATATGATACATGTTTGTTTGGATTTTTAAGGTTAAAAAAAAAAATTGTAGATATATAATACTTCATAACTGTCACATTTATTTATTGGCTGCTGGCTTTAATTAGTTTAACTGAATTTGACTTGTGAAAGAATTAGCCTTTGTTCATGCTTTGTTTATAACAATAAAATAATCGCATAACTAAATAAAGTCTCTAGTGACCATCTTGAGACCACATCCGTTGCTGTTGCTCAAGTTACGTCTGACCAGCCGTGCGTCTTCTATGTATTGCTGTGCTGACCCTCTCTCACCTCTGAGCCCTCTGCCCTTTGACCCCTTTGACCCTGACCTCTTCACTCTGACCCCTGACCCCGTCATGTCTGGTCTCTCCTCAGCACGAGGCGTTCCACTGTAACCGCTGCAGACTCCAGTTCATTTACCTCAAAGAGAAAGTCCACCACAAAACAGAACATCACCGCAGCTACAGGAGACCGGCCCGACTCGAGGGGCTGCCCCCGGGGTCAAAGGTAACTCCCACGCACCTGTACGCACCTGTACGCACCTGTATGTAGGGGGAGATTGGGTTTATTCCTGGTTTAGTCCTGGTTTAGTCCTTGTTCAATTCTGGTTCAGTCCTTGTTTAGACCAGGACCAAAGGGAGTGTTTACACTTGAAGTGTAAGTACATGTAGACTTAGTTTAAAGTTCTTGTTTTAGTTCTGGTCTTGTTTAGGTTTAGTTCCTGGTTTAGTCCAAGTTTTAATTAAATTTTAATGTGATGTTTGTGTGAAAGCAGCCTATAGAGGACAAATGTATAATAAGACTGGAGCAGGACAGAGAGGGTAATACGTAAGGTACTAAGTGTAGTATTAGCTGTAGGAGGAGTTATAGTAATAGATGTAGTTGCAGTATTAGTTTTAGTACTTTTTTCATCTCCCATTTGCCTGTCCTCTCTGCTGCAGGTGACCATTCGGACATTCGGGCGGCGTAGGCCTGCCCTCCCTTCAGAGATGCCCCACCCCTCACAACCAAGCCCCGCCCCCTCGAACATGATTCAGCCCATCAGCATCAAGACCGAGCCTCAGCCCCTACTCCTCCAGAAGGCGCGCACCGCCCACAAGAAACTCGAGCACAGGTGAGAAAGGACGGGGCATCTGACACGGTACAGCGCAGAAGAGACAGAATCCCCGCTGTGACCCCTGACTCCTGTGTGTGTCTCCCACAGTACTGCCTTGGTCGGCCTGTGGCGCTGTGTGGAGTGTGGTGACCAGGCGACGGCCCTGTCGGCTCATTACCCCACACACGTGCGCTGTCTGCTCTGCTCCTACGGCACCTGCTGCTCCAAGGCCTATGCCAGTCACATGGTCCAGTGAGTCGTACACTTGCACACATGTGCACACGCACACACACACACACTCAGAGACTGACACGCTCACAGTCACAAATCTTCTCTCTGCATTTGACCCATCCTTCAGTGTCTCTGGGTGAAACCTGTCAGGAGCAGTGGGACCCATCTCTAGATATTGAGCTAGTCTTTGTCAGGATTACCTTAGCTGGAGGATTTAACCTAGACCCTAGGGCCGACCGATGTGGATTTTTTTTTGCATCCGATGTGATACCAATGGGATTTTTGACATTCAAATGTCTCTTATTCAGAAACTAGAGGGACTATTGAAATAAGTAAAGTATCAGAATGTAGGAAAGAGTTAACACTCCAACAGGGTAAAGTTAAACCTGTGATATTCTTTCAAGTTCTTGACAAAAAATTACAAAACTCATGTCGGTAACGGAGGGAATGAAATATGCAGCACTTTTTGGGCAATAAATCCAAACAGTGATAACTCTTGGTTCTCACTTCCATATCCTTAACAAACTGGTTTGAATATTTGCTTCATATAGTTTTCTACCATATGGTACAAGATTAGGTTGAAAAACCTCTTACTTTTTGAGTCATGAGATTTTTTATTAAGAAAGGTCATGGTAACGGAGGGAAAAGTAACGGAGGGAAAATTGTGCAAACAAGTAGAAGGTGCAAGATTTTACATAATTTGTCGCTTTTTTCTTCTGAATACTTTAATATTACTTCAAAATGAAAGGAAACTATTTCTATAAAATATGTCAGTCCTTCCAAGCAAATTTTTATCATTTTAAATAGTTTTTTTTTGAAAAATCATGTACCTTCATCAACAGTTCAAAGATGGAATAACACAAGATATGATGAAATACATCCATTTATTTACATGATTTGTAGGTCTTTGAAATTTGGGAAATAATTTTTGTTCCATATTTCAGCTGTTTAAAACGTATGGAACTTTAGAACCAAAAATGGTACAGAAAAAAGGCCAACAGTTTCATAAACTAGAGTACATATGTATCTGTTGAATCTATTTTTATATCAAATGCATTAACTGGAATTTTTGGCCTTGCTGTTTACTTCTGCTTGACCGGGCCCCAATATAACAGCCTATATATTTAGTGATGTAAAAATACACTGTAACTTCAACTGATTATAAAACTTAGGTTTAGCTCTGTTAGATTTTAAGTTGGGTTTGTTTAGGCTACATTTACCGTTATTTTACCTCTTTACAGTTATATTTAATGATGGTAGGTCAGCCTAAAGACAATTTTGCATGATTTTCTTACCTGTAAACAAAGTGAGTGAATTGCCCCTTAGCCTGTAGTGGTTACTGTAAATGTTTGTGCGCTGAAAAGTAGCTCTAAAACCGACACATTTGCTTTCACCGTGCACACACCTCTAACAACACAAGTCTTCACTAATAAGTGTCCCCTTAGTCCTGACTCAAAACAATCATCTGTAAAAATAATATAATCCAACATGTTGACAGCAGCTGTGTGTGTCCTCTGTCTGTGGGACAGTCCTCTGTCTGTGGGACAGTCCTCTGTCTGTGGGACAGTCCTCTGTCTGTGGGACAGTCCTCTGTCTGTGGGACAGTCCTCTGTCTGTGGGACAGTCCTCTGTCTGTGGGACAGTCCTCACAGTAGTTTTGTTTGTGGTCTAAACTGCATTGGGCACTTTTACTTATAGTCAGTATCATGGACTAGACACAAGAGCATTTAAAGCAGCACCTCGCTGGTGTAAACAAGAGCATGTGAGTCACATGACGTGACTCTGGGGGTGCGTTCAGGGGCAGTACGGCGTCACATTCGCAGACAAATTACTCCTGATAAATACTGATCACATAGTAGGACATTTATCTGTCTGTAAATTGGATTAAATGGACATAATATAGAGAGTTTAAGCTTTATAATGAGGCATAACATGCTCACATTGAATATCGGCAAGATTTAGGCCGATAGCCGATATGTCTCGAAGAGCCCATATCAGCTGATAATATCGGCCAACCGATATATCGGTCGAGCCCTACGAGACACAGACAGTGCCACAGACGCAAAGAGAATATGCAAAGTCCACACAGAAAAAGTAGAACCATGAACATTTTTGCTGGTAGGTCAGAGGGCTAACCACTCTGCCACTGTGCTGTAATGTGTATCATATTTAAGATGTTTAACTTGACTCTGGTCTCTTTCAGCTCTCATCACTTTCCTCGCTCCAAAGAGCCAACCCCACGCCTCAAACGAGAACCTCCGCCCAGGTACTGCAAATACTACTGCAAATACTACTGCAAATACTACTACTACTACTAGTACTACTAGTACTACTAGTACTAGTACTACTACAGCTCCGTCTGAGCCCGTCACTACTGATGGTTTAGATTTCTCTGATCATAGACTGTGGACTGAGGAAGTGTGACGACACCCACAGTGTTCGCGTTCAAATGAAGCTCATCAAGGCTTGCAGTTAGAGCACCTACTGTATTGCTAACCCTAGTAGACGCAATCTTGGGGAAGGAAAGCACCTGATTGGGCTATTATTAATGTTCATATCTTGATTTGGGGACAAAATAGCAAAATGAAAAACCCAGGATCATATAGAGCAGCTTCAAACCAGCATTTTAAGGTCAGAATGAGGAGGCTGACAGCAGCAGTGAGAGGGGACATGTGTCACTGTGGAAAGAACAAGACATGTCACAGTTTGTACAAGATTCTAAATGACCCCCCCTCTCTTTCTCTCCCTCTGTGTCTCTCTCTTCTCCTCTCAGTCGTTTCTCAGTTATCTGCGCTGATTGTCGGTTCAGAGCGCCCTCTGGAGATGAGATGGCCGTGCACCTCGCCCTGAACCCCACCCACTCCTTTGCCACATGCACACCCCGAAGTGAGCACGAGTACACGCACACGCACACGCACAGCCGCGTGCTTTGGCCAACTAAATAAATTCTTGCTGGTCTAAAGATGCAGGTGAAGGTGCACATCACACTAGTGCGTAGTAGATTTAAAAACATTTGACCAAAATGACTGTAGAAGGAAGTGCATGAAAATGGGGGTTGATCAGCAAAATGGCATGTTGAAAATAACCGAAGATGACTAAAACATGCACAAATCACTCTAAATAGAACTGCTGAGGGTCAATGAGAAGGAAGCATGTAGAACATGGTTCAAAGCTGTGAAAAGTCCAGTTGGCAGAATAGCTCTGCTTTAAACACTTCATTTTCTCTTAGGCTTTAAAACTCATTAACAAGTTTTTCTTACAGTTCTGACGGACTTGGACGTGGACTTCTCTTTGCTCGCACCGCAGCGTTCTGATTGGCCAACTGCTTCTCTTCCTGGTGTGATCCCGCGTCCTTTGGCCTGTGATTGGTCGACGCCGGACTGCAGCGTGGCGGGCGCACCTCCGTTCACACACTGGAGCGGTCCCAGTCATAACGTACCACGCTCAGGAGACGCCATCGACTTCTTCGAACTCCTGTTTCCCGCTGAGCTTGTCGACCTCATAACAGCGGAAACCAACTCACACGTCAAGACACTGCGCTTCCTTTTTCACGACCCACTGCTCTCTGATTGGACGACGCTGACGAGCAGCGAGCTGAAAGCTTTCCTGGGACTGGTGAGTCTAAACCAGGATTAAGGTGGGACTGAACCAGGACTAAACCAACCTTGTGTTGCAGGTGGTCCTCATGGGGCTGCAGACACTCCCAGACCCTGCTCACTACTGGTCTTATTCCCACTACGACCAAAGGTGAGTCTATTCCAAATGCCCCGCCACTCCCCAGTCTGCACCAGTGTCACTCATGCTAGTGCAAGTTGTAATCTCTACTAAGATAAGTGTCTTTGACTATATGTACTGTGTGTGTGTATGTACCATATTTTTGGGACTATAAGTTGCTCCAGAGTATAAGTCGCACCAGCCCAAAAATGCATAATGAACAATATACATAAGTTGTACTTTTTGGGGTAAATTTATTTTATAAAATCAGAGACCAGGAACTGACATTTCCTGTTGAAGTTCTAGTAATAAGAATAGAAGAGAGAACAACAGACTGTTAACGTCACATATAAACAGTTCTTCAGATAAACTATAACTAGTGCTGTCATGCGATTAAAAAAATTGAGAGATTAATTAATTATGATCTGTAATTAATTAATCTAATTAATCTCTTTTTAATCTCATCTAAAAATTGCTGAGAAAAGCCTTCAATTTGAGGTATTTTCATTTAAATTCATTATTACATTATTGTGGCAGATCAAAAGACTGATATAGATTTAAAAAAGTGACTTTATAAAGTCATTTATTGTTTAACAAATCTCTCCAAATTGGCTGTTGAGCCCAAGTCTCCATGAATAAGAAACTGTTTGCTGTAAAGTAGCAAAGACTAGGAAATCTGAACATAATAACTTTTGTCTACTTAAAGACAATAAAAAGTCCAGTCTTTCCTTAACCATATTAAAAATATTATTGATAGAGAAATGCTTTATATATGAGATCACTGGTTTTAGTCCTGGTTTAGACCTGCTTTAGTCCTACTTTAGTCCTAGTTTAGTCCTGGAATGGGTTAGTCCTGGTTTTAGACCTGGTGTTAGTTGTGGTTTAGTCCTGGTTTAGACCTGGTTTAGACCTGGTTTTAGTTCCGGTTTAGTCCTGGTTTAGACCTGGATTAGACCTGGTTAGTCCTGGTTTAGTCCTGGACTGGGTTAGTCCCGGTTTTAGTCTTGGTGTTAGTTCTGGTTTTGAGGCGCACAGGAGGAAGCGCGGTTTACGCAGCGTACGCGAGAAAATGTACGCGGTGCACAGGAGCACGTCGGTGTCCGCGCAGTAACAACGGAAGGAAACGTGGTCCGCGCGTTCTCAGGTTAATGACGACGATGAAGGTGTGTGTTTGTGTGGGTTTGTGTGTGTTTGTGTGCGTGTCCCCTCATGTGGCAGGTCACTATAGGACAGTAGTGCAGACATTATGATCATCAGGTTGTTTTCACCAGTGACATTTAAGTTGTAGGCGATTTTATATTTGTTATTTTCTTTTATATTTCACGTCGGGAGAAGAATTTCCAAGACACGAATGCGTTTTTACCTGTGCACTGCTGCCTCTGTTCTACTGGCTCTACGACCTCGTCCATTGTGCGACTGATGCCGCCAACGTGAACATGACGTTTACATCGCTCTTACTGCGCGCGTTTTGTGTGGGTTTTCCGGCAATGAGTGGAATTACCGAAATAAAAAAAATTATAAATGTGTTTTTTTGTGTGTGTGTGGTGTTGTCCCAACAACACATAAAATCTGATTTTATAATAAAGCAACTCGCAGACAGAAACAGTAAAGTTAGAGATTAAAAATGAGATTAACGCGATTAAAAAACATAACGCGCTAAATATGACTGTAATTAATTAATCGCAATTAACACGATAATTTGACACCCCTAACTATAACATAAACAACAGAACAGAACAAGTTTACCAAACTCTCCATCTCACTCCAAATCACTAAATCCATTCAATTCTTCATCCTCGGTGTCACCTCTGAACAACTTTGCGACCTCCGGAGGTAAACGGAGCACCGCTTCCTCTTCTGTGTCGCTGTCGTCAGACTCAGCATCAGTTCCAGTTAGAATTATTCGGGCCTTTCTGAATCCCGACAGGATGGTTTCAGTGTCACTGAAGTCCAGACTTTGTCCATCCATGATGCTCCCTCCTGGTGTCACAGGTTTCTTGCTCAATTCAAACTGTCTTTCTGCTGCTCGATTACTGTTTTCAGCTGAATATTTCACTACTTGCAGCAGGACAGCAGCTCATTGAGCAGGAGACATGTGCAGTAGAGTGAAGTGACAGTGGTACAGGAGTAATAGGAAGAGCAGATACTGACTAGACTAGAGCGCCCTCTCTCTGTCAGTGTAAAAAGTTTAATATTTAACTTGCACCGGACTATAAGTTGCATGACCACCCAAACCATGAAAAAAGTGTGACTTATAGTCCAAAACGTACGGTATGTATGTACACTGCAAAATAGACAGACTGCACATAAATTGCAAGTACTGTGACTCCAGAGTGTTTCACTCTGATCATTTCCTGTCTGTTCAAGTTAAATAAAGTGTATTAAATAAAAGTCATGTGATGTGTAAAAGAGCGCCCTCTCCTGACCACTCTGCCCGTTTGTAGTTACATGTTTAACCAGGTCATGAGTCACCGCCGCTTCACTCAGATCCTCCGATCGCTCCGCCCAGGCAGCACCGACCCCACCCCTGTGCACAGAAGCCCCGCCCCCCTCAGCAGAAGTCCCGCCCACCACAGGGACCCGCTCCAGATGTTCCGGCGCATGCTGCAGATCCAGGGCAAGGCCATGTGGGACACCTACAGGTCAGACTCTGTCATTACATCACACACTGTTAAACACACTGTATGGACTGAGGGAGAGTGGCACCACCCAGAGCGCTCAGCTCCAAATGAAGCTCATCAAGGCTCGCACTTACAGCCATGAATCTGGAGCCATTTTAAGGTAGAATGGCAGTGACAGCAGCACTTACAGGGAGAGGGGCCATTTTTTTTCAATAAAAAGTTCACTTCCTGTTTGGAATGCGGTGGCTAGCCATTTTTAGTCTGCTGTTTGCAGACGATGTTGTCCTGATGGCTTCATCGAACCAGAACCTGCAATGTGCACTGGGGCGGTTTGCAGCCGAGTGTGAAGCGGTTGGGATGAGGATCAGCTCTTCTAAGTCCGAGGCCATGGTTCTCGACTGGAAAAAGGTGGCTTGCCCTCTCCGGGTGGGTGGGGAGTCTTTGCCTCAAGTGGAGGAGTTCAAGTATCTCGGGGTCTTGTTCACGAGTGAGGGGAGGATGAAGCGTGAGATTGACAGGCAGATCGGTGCAGCGTCTGCAGTGATGCGGTCGCTGTATCGGGCCGTTGTGGTGACGAGGGATCTGAGTCGAAAGGCGAAGCTCTCGATTTACCGGTCAGTCTTCGTTCCTACTCTCCCCTATGGTCATGAGCTCTGGGTAATGACCGAAAGGACGAGATCACGGATACAAGCGCTCGAAATGAGTTTCCTCCGCATGGTGGCTGGGCGCTCCCTTAGAGATAGGGTGAGGAGCTCAGTCACACGGGAGCAGCTCGGAGTAGAGCCGCTGCTCCTCCACATCGAGAGGAGCCAGTTGAGGTGGCTCGGGCATCTGTTCCGGATGCCTCCTGGGCGCCTACCTCGGGAGGTGTTCCGTGCATGTCCCACCGGGAGGAGGCCCCGGGGAAGACCCAGGACACGCTGGAGGGACTATGTCTCTCGGCTGGCCTGGGAACACCTCGGGGTCCCCCCGGAGGAGCTGGAGGATGTGTCTGGGGTGAAGGAAGTCTAGGAGTCCCTGCTTAGGCTGCTTCCCCCGCGACCCGGCCCCGGATAAGCGGACGAAAATGGATGGATGGATGAGTTACAACATCACATTTTATGTTTATCTCACGTTCTCTGACCCTCTGATACAGACCCAGGTGCTGCCTCAGTCTGGACCGTGCCCTGCTCCCCGGAACCCCGAGCCAGGATCCAAACCAAGGACTAAACCAGGACCAGGGGCCATACCAGGACTGTCCCAGACCTGGGCCGGCTCTGCCTCAGGTCTGGCTTCTCTGTGACTCAAAGTCTGGATACTGTCACCGGCTGCACATCCAGGTGAGACTGGTCAAAAGAGATAAGTCCAAGTCATGTCACACCTCCAAGCCTTACTTCTAGGTTGTTCTTATGATTTTCCTCAGACTCTCACACTGCTCTGTCTCTGTCTGTGCTCCTCAGACCTCCCCTGGACCTGCTCATGGTCCAGACATGTCCCTGGTTCTGGATCTTCTGTCTGGGCTAGAGCATCGTCCCCATCAGCTCTTCCTCTCCAATGCTTTGTGCACCGAAGACCTGCTGCACCTGCTCCACCACCGAGGGCTGTACGGCTCCGCCTCCTTCCCCCGCAACCACCCCCACTTCCCCTCTGAGCTCTGGGACGACAGGTACGGGACCAGGACAAAACCAGGATTAGATCAGGACTAAATCTTGTCCTTTCTCTTTGTCAGGCCTCTGGAGCACCCGGGGGACTTTGTTCAGAAGCAGAGGGGTGTGGTGTTGGCGACACGGTGGAAGGACGTGAAGGAGATGGGGTGCCTGTCAACCAACGCGGCTCCTGGTCACACGGACGCCGTCTGGAGGAGGTCCCAGACCAGAGTCGGTACCCTGGACCGGCTGGACCGTCCCGAGGCATTCAGACTGCTCCAGGAGAACATGAGAGGGGCCGACATCTGCAAACAGCTGTTAGCCTGTAACGCGCTGGGGGGCGTGGCCTCAGAGCGCCGCTGGAGAAACCTCTTCTGGTTCTTGGTGAACATCAGTGTTGTCAATGCCTTCATCGTCCTGAGGGAGACTAGGAGAGACTGCCCCCCCAGTTGGGTCCAGAAGGGGCTCTTCACACAGGTGAGGTCTGGACCAGGACTAAACCAGGACTAAGGACCAGGACCAGGACCAGGACTAAACTCTATGTGTGTTTCAGGCACGGTTCCGCAAGCGTCTGGGGACGCAGTTGGCCAAATGTTTCCGGTGCTCGAATCCTGCTGACCCGCCGCCACTCAATCTTCCTCCCATCGCTCCTGCCATTGCACCTGTCCTTGCACCTGTCCTTGCACCTGAGCTTGCCCCCGCCCTCACCCCTGCCCCACCAGGGCAGGAGGCACAGCGCCACCGCATCGGCAAAATCAGCAGGATCTGCAAACGCTGTAAAAATTGTCACTCCAAAAACTTGCGTCACGAGAGCGTGCACGGCTGTGTCGTTTGCAGCGTGAACCTGTGTCAGACCGGCACCTGCTTCTGGGAGTTCCATGGACTAAGCGCCGACACGCCCGGTAAGACCTTTAGACCAGCTCTAATGTTTAGACCTACTTTAGTCTGGTTTAGTCCTGTTTTAGTCTCGCTTTAATGATGTTTTTTCTTTCAGTTTCTCCCAGACTGGGTTTTGTGATGAAGACGTAAGTGTCTGTCTTTGTTTTTTGGTATAATCCAGTGTTTGGACACTCACAGGCCTCTCCTCTTTTGCAGGGGGCAGATCTCATTCGTCGAGCCGAAGAAGGAGGGAGGCTTTAGTGCTCCCATCGAGGAATCAGATGAAGAATATGAGGAGTTCAAACCTGAGAAGGTGGAGTCTCCAGAGTCCATGGACCAATCATTTCCCTCGATTCTGCAGCAGCTGTTTTCTGAGCGTCAGCTGCAGGTGGCGCTGTGTGCTCTGTGTGAGGGCGTGAGCAAAGCCACGCGTGTCTACGCCACCGAGCCGCGTCTCATCCACCGATGGCTACGGGAGGCTAATGCTAACGTCCACCCCGACCCTGAGAGTGAGGGGGTGGAGTCTGAGGTGGTGGAGCGCCTGGTGAAGTTTGTCCTGAGCATGCGAGCAGGAGGGGGCGCTCACGTACACTGGTCTCTCAAAGAAAGTGTCCTCACTCCGACAGAAGGGCCTTCACTCCCTCAGATTCTCATACGACTGGGCCGTTAGCTTCATGCTACGAGCCAAGCTTCAGTTTCAGGGTGTGGGCACGCGTGTGTCTCAGGAGCTCCCTCTGCAGCTGGGGCAGCGCGTTGCAGCGTTTCAGACGTTTACTCAGAAGGTGATCCAAGGCCACGCTCTGGCGAGCAGCGCTGTGGCGTCCATGGACGAGCTGCACCTGTTCGCAGACCTGAGCCGTGCATCAGACGTGCTGCAGATGACGGGGACGTCTCCTCTGGTCACTGTTTACCTCACGGCGCTCTCAGACGGGACGCTGATGCCCGCCTTAGCTCTGACCGCCTCCCCGCTGGATGAGGGCACTCTGCCGGAGTTTGTGCTGACGGACATTGCTCCACAGAGCACAGATGAGGCTCTGGAGCTGTGGAGAACGAGGGTCTGGACTGAACATGTGCGAGACCTGCAGCTGCAGAAGTGTGTGCTGATCGTAGATGCTCACGGTGAGCACACCACAGACGCCTTTCTGGCCGCGCTGAGCGAATCAGGAACGCTCCCCGCTGTCATTCCCAAAGGCCTCGGTTTCAGGCTCCACCCCTTGGAGATCTGCGTCAAACCTCTGCTGCAGAGGTATCTGCTCCGCAGGTGGAGAGCGCTCCCTCCAGGACACACGCAGGCGCTGCACGAGGACGCCCTCGCCAGCATGTGGGTGAAGTGGACAGTGGAGGCGCTGTCCCACATCAGCTCACTCCCAGAGGTCATCCAGAGGTCTTTTAGGGTCGCTGGAGTGTTAGAAGAGAAGGAGGAAGAAGAGGAGCTGCAGCAGGTTCAAGACGAGTTGATGAAGACGCTGAGTTTAAAGTTGGCAGATGTGGAGATGAGCTGGGAGCAGGAGCAGGACTTCTGGAACATGGAACCCTCTGAGGAAGACAAGATGGAGGAGCAAAAAGAACGGGAAAAGCAGAGCAGGAAGGAGGAAAGTGAGACGGACACTGAAGATGAGACTGGACAGAACAAAGAGGAGGAGAGAAGAGGAGGAGAGAGAGAGCAGGAGGAGGAAGAGAGAAAGGAAGAGAGAGAGAACATAAAAACACAGGAGAGGGAGAAAGGAGAGGAAGAGAGAAAGGAGGGAAATGAAAGGTTAAAGGAGAGAAAGACAGAAGAGAGAGAGGAGGGAGGAGAGGAAGAGACTGAGGAGATCAAGGAGGAAGAGATAGAGGAGAGAAGTGAGGGAATAAGAGAAGAGGGAAAGGAGGAGAGAGACGACATGGACGCCAAAAAAGCAGAAACTAGAATGATAGAGGATAGGGAAGAGGAAGGAGAAAGAGAGGCAGAGCAAGGCGCCCAAAAAGCAGAGGGAATCACAGAGGAGAAAGGAGAGGAGGGGAGAGAGAGAGAGAGGTGGGAGGAAAGAAAGGAGGAGGAGGAGAAGACAAAAGAGCCTGAAAAGGAGGAAAGAGAGGTGGAGAGTGTGAGAGCGGCAGGAGAGGAGGAAGAGGAGACAAAAGAAGAGCCTGAAAAGGAGGAAAGAGAGGTGGAGAGAGAGAAGGCGGCAGGAGAGGAGGAGAAGGCACAGCCGAGACATGAGACTCGGATCTTGATGGGAGAAGATTTGGGAGACGAATGGCAGGTCAAAGTTCAAAGTTCAGAGGAAGACGACAAAATGGACGAAAGCTGAAAATTCTTTTAATGAATACTTTACAGGGACGTCACGCTGGGGAGGAGCATTGCTGTTCTACATGTATGTCTGTGGTGGAATGTTCAGCAGTTACAGAATGCACACATTAGCTGTTAAAGTTTTTAGATATTGTGAAAAACAGTAAAAACTCAATGTCACATGTTCAGGAGCCTGTGGTCCGTCTCAGCCTTCATAGTTCTGTTTAGGAATTGGATATTCAACAAAAGGTAAAAGTGACTAACTTTTCAGATCTAAAACCTTTTTTGTCAGTGTTTGCTAATGTGTGTATTGTTTCCATCATAACTGCTGAACATTCCACCATACACATACATGTAGAACACCCCCAGTATGATGTCACTTCAACGTATCAATATCTGGAAATCATGAAAAAAACAAATGGACATGTTTAGTGAAGTGTGAGTGTGAGCGAGTCACAGCCAGGCTGAGGAAGTATTCAAGACATTCCATCGTTTTACAAACATTTCAGGCTCAAATGTTCCAGAGTGTTCCCTCTGTGTAAATCTTTTGTGTAAATCCTTTGTGTAAATGTGAGATACGGACTCGGAGATCAACCACAAAGAATCGTGTTTTCTTATAAATCTGTACAGTTTTTCATTCTTATAGTAAGTTTTAGTTATTTTGTGGGACTGAAGTTCAAATCTGAAGCTCTTTGTCTAATGCAGTTTTTAAAAATAAAAATCTAAACTCTAAACATCATTTTAGGTTTAATAAGATCACAACTGTTAAGACTTAAATGGCCGATATTACACTATTTTCTAATCTGTTTTAATGTAGTAGAACTAACAGACCTAGTTGTGTTGTGTTTTATTTCATTCACACTTGTTTAACATTCAAACCCTGCAGATTGAGTTCTTCTCTGACTGAAAACATTTTCCACAGGGTTCCCACGGTCATAGAAATCCTGGAAAAGTCACAGAAACTGAAATTCTCATTTTCCAGACCCGGAAAAGTCATGGAATTTTAGTATCTCTCTCACGCAACTCCAGCATTCTGTTAAGTTGTCATGAGGTTATGATGATTATTTCTGAACGTCTGCACCTTTTGTTTAAAAGAGACGACAATAAATGAGAGGATTTTGAATGTTTAAAAAAACTATAATCAGAACCATCAGGTGAGTGGAAAGAGTTCACATTTCATATTTAGCCCTAAAAGTCTGATCAGTTCTACAGATGTAAGTGCTGCAAAGTCATGGAAAATTCACTTTAGGTCATGAAAAAATTTTGAAATTTTGTCAGTGAAAAACGGTGGGAACTCCGTTTCCACCTCATGATGTCACGTGGTGATTGAGGAAGTTCTCCACTGCATTTTTAAATTTCATACAGCCTTACTAGAATCATTTGGATAATTTTAGATCTAGAATTGCTGAACTGTACTGAAGTAAAGTTAAAAAGGGTTATTGACATGAAACTACTGTGACATCACAAGGTGGAAAAGAGCATTTTGAGCTTTGGAGATGTAGACAGACTAATAAAGGGTTCCTCCAGGTCAGTTTTTGAGGAGGTAACGGCTTTAGAACATGACTGAAAGCTCACAAGAATCAAGTTTGCACAATATAGACCCTGGAAACAATAAAGGCACCAGTCCAACACGAGCTGTCCAGCAGAGGGCGCTGCGCAGAGACGCAGGAGCATGCGCAGAAGCAGCGCAGAGGAGGAAGCGACGCAAAGTCAGTGCGCATGCGCGGGTATCGTTGGTTCTCCAAGGTTCTGCTGCAGAGATCCACTTGGTTCCGCTGGGTTCGGTCCTTCTGAGCCCGGTTCTGCTCTGTTCTGCTCGGAGTGGCGCGGGTCCAGATGCCGGGGTTCCGCAACGAAGAGCCGCAGGTCAGTGTCTTCTGCCCGGGTCCTGTCCCCGGGTCATGTCCTTGGGTCCTGTCCCCGGGTCCTGTCCATGAACCAGTGATGAAAGGATTATTTGAACATGTATTTAGTTACAGAATACTGAATACCCGAGTCCAAATGTGTTCTGTTCATAGGCCAGTCACAGTACTCTTTCTGAATACTTAGAATACTTTTACTCCGAGCTGCTTTGAAATGATAGTGTCAAACAGTGGATTAAAAGAGCTTTAGTTTGATCTGCAACTTGGAACCTCAGTGATACAGTTTGAAACTTTGTGTGATGAAGTGCTGCAGGGTGTTCCTTTGGTTTTAGAAAAGTAGCTGTGTTCTGTATACCATTACTAACACTCACACGTAGTATTCTGATCTGTATTCTCGGTGCAGCCCAGCCCGGAGCGCACGGGTCCGGTCCGGTCCCACAGACTTTGCACGGTCTATGGTCCGGTCCATCTGCGTCACAGTCTTACTTATGATTAACTATTGGAAAAGGGCCGAAACCTGAAACCATCGACCAGTGAGAGGGTCAGAGGATGATTCTGTGAATGAAAAGATGCTGCGCGGGCGCTTCTGTCTGTCAGAGTTCAGTCCAGGGTTCTGGTCTGTGGCTCTGGGGGATTTCATGTCACAATAACATTCAAGGTTCACTCACAGTTCTGCACATGAGTAAAACAGGACCGTTCGACTGTTCAGGTAAGCTCGGATTTGAGCAACATGAGGAAATGCAAACTTCAGACTGGTGAGATGCGTTCACACGGCTCAGGTTCGCTCGGAGCCGGTTCTGCGGGTCGGAAAGAGCTGCTCTCATCACACAAACATGAAAATAAGCCGAGATTAGCTCCAGTCCAGACACGTCCCAACAACAAGAGCCTCGGTAAACTCATTTTCATACAACAACAGACTTTTGTCTGTTGTTGCATCTGACTTCAGCGCGTCAGGAGCAGAGCAGCTCCGGGGAACCTCCCCCAGGACTGAACCAAGGACTGAACCAGGTTTACACTTTTGTCAGTGCTGGTTTAGTTCTGCTTTAGACTTGCTTTTGTCCGTTTTAATGCAGGTTGTGGAAATCTAGATAAATGTGTTTTTGGTGTGAAATGTTCCTTTGGTGTTTGTTCAGCTCAAACACGTGTGACTGGAGACTGATATCTGCATCTGAACACAGTCTGTGGCGTGAGACTGGTGTTACCAAACCCTGGATAAAGAAGTGGACTGAGGGACTGCGACGTCTCCCACACGTTAGACTCCAAATGAAGCTCATCGAGGCATGGCCTAGAAAAAAGAAATGGTGTTGTAAATGGAATTTATAAACTCAAAATTGATAATCGTATATCTGAACATCCTAAAGAAATCTCAAATTGTGTTGAGAAGTTTTACAAAAAATCTCTACTCAGTTTCTGACTCAAATAGTAATTTGCCATATGTTCTCTCTTCAATAAAAGATGACGTTAGAATCATTGACATGAATCCAGATTTGACTGTGATATAACCCTGTCTCTAGATGACAAGCCCCAGGGAGCAATGCTCTGATTGTTGAGTTTGATGAAGCATTTCAAAAGCAGATCTCTCCATATCCTTTGAACGTGTTTAAGGAAGCCAGAAAAAGGGTGAACTTCCACCCACTTTGTGTTAAGGTTTAATAACACTACTCCCCAGTTACTCTAGTGGACAATGACGCTGATTGAATAGCTCAGATTTTTGCCAAAAAATTCAAAAATGTCTAGACACAATCACTGATGATTGTCAGGATTTATGCAAAAGAGACACATCAGTACCAATATTAGAAGGATTTTAGTTTTCATTGATTATAATGAGTTCATAACAGAAAATTTTTTATTCTCTTTGTAGATGTATACAAGGCCTAGCAACCCTGTCAATCAAACCTGTTGCTAACGCTAGTGGGAGTGCCCTGTTCTGTTATTAATGTTCATATATTGATTTAGGGACAAAATATTGAAATAAAAACCCCAGGATCATGTAGAGCAGATTCAGACCAACATTGTCAGGTCAGAATGAGGAGCCTGACAGCAGCAGAAACAGAGGAGCCACACTTTTTACATCCAGGGTGAACTGCAGCCGATGGAGCCCATGCCCATTTCCTCGTCTGTGCTGGAGGAAATGAGTGGTTCTGTGGATCATATGTGGAGGGGCATGTTTGTGTCCAGCCCTGTGTGTCCCCTTGGCTCTAGGACACAGTTTAAAGAAAACTCACACTTTTAAACAGGGGACAGTGTAGTATGTTAGATTTGTTAGGCTTTTTGGAGCTTTCCACCATGTTATAACATCGTTCTGTCATTAGAAACAGCACTAAAGAGGTTTTAGATGTCCTCCGTGTATGTTTGAGTAATCTAGTGATCTTCCCTGGGTCCTATTAAACCCTCCTTGCAGTTGACAGTACGAGTCCACTGTTTTTACATTAAAATGTGTTTCCAGGTGTCTGAGGGGGTAGGGCCAGGGACCAGGGGACGTGTCCTTGTCACCGGGGCGACGGGGCTTTTGGGGCGGGCCGTATGTCGACAGCTCCGTGACGACGGCTGGAGCGTCATAGCAACAGGATTCAGCCGTGCCCTCCCCGGAACACTGCGCTGCGACCTGACGTGTGAGGAGCAAGTACACCTCATGCTACAACAGCACAAGGTACTACTACTACTACTACTACTACTACTACTACTACTACTACTACTACTACTACTACTACTACTACTACTACTACTACTTGGACTATTAGTACTACTACTACTTGGACTATTAGTACTACTACTACTTGGACTATTAGTACTACTACTACTTGGACTACTAGTACTATTACTACTTGGACTACTAGTAGTAGTACTACTACTACTAGTACTACTAGTACTACTACTACTACTACTACAACTGCTACTACCATACCCTCTGACCTGTGACCAAGTACACCACGTAGTACAAGAGCACATGTACTTTGACTTCAGATCCTGCTGCTTGTGTGTGTGTGTGTGTGTGTTTCACACTTGTTACCCGTTGGTTGTCTCCAGCCTCACGTGATCATTCACTGTGCCGCTGAACGCCGCCCTGACGTCGTCGAGCGAGCTCCTGACTCTGCTCTCAACCTCAACGTGCACGCCACCGCTGTGCTTTCCAAGGAGGCAGGTATGTCCTCTGACCTCTGCAGTGTATGACCTCTGTATGACCTCCATATGACCTCCATATGACCTATGCCCCATGCAGTGTGACCTCTGTACACCCTAGCTGCATCTCATTTCTCTTTCCTCCTCACTTCCTTCTCCTTGATTCCACAGAGCAGCAGAGGAGAGAGAGAGACTATAAATTACTAAGGATTATTTTCTAATATTATTTCTAATATTTTATACTATTACTATTCCAGAACTTTGAAATGAATGACAGATCAGCATCTTTGGTTTCAGATAAATGTGTTGGAACATATTTTATTGTTAAATTCAGCATTAATGTAACATGTCAATCATCCTTTAGTTGTGTAGATGTGACAATACAAACTCTTCACTGTTTGATTCTTTTATCTGATGTCTGCCTCCTGAATACTCACTCAGGTTTCCTGTGGTTTCCTTCCCTTGTCTCCTCTGAGCTTTGGGACACCACTTGTGGTGCAGAATCGAGGAGAAGGAAGCGATTAAAGAGAAATGAGATGCAGACAGGGCGTACAGAGGTCACCCTGCAGAAGTCAGAGGTCATGACTCCTGAAACTGTGAAATGTTTAGGTTTATTGGGATAAAAACACTGGTAAAATCCTGTCTGGCTGTAATCACAAGCACATGAAACCTTAAGGCCGCTCCACCCTACAAGATTTTTCAGTCTGAAATGATTTTAAATGTGTGACAAATAGTGCACATAACAGACATGAGGAGAATCTTAAGAGATTTTAAACCTCCGATTGTAAAGACTGCAGCAGGATCTATCTGCAGACCACAGGATATAAAGCTGTGTGCACGATCATGTCAACTGTAACCAGGCACTTTGAGACTCCTAAGTGTTCAAAAGATCAGAGCTCTGCACTTCTAATTTAGATCCAAGTCAAAATGGTGATGTTTAATGCACAGAAGGTTAGTGATAAAGTCCACAGGAAGTAGAGTCACTGTCACTAATCGATCTGTGCACTGTGTGGATGTAAACAGACACACGTGAGGAACTACTCTCACCTTTTTACTTTCAAACTGGATTCACAGCGCTGTTGACTGGGGGTCTTTATTTATGAAGGACAATTTCTATGGATAATGTGGATGAGATACTGCACTTTAAATTGACCAATTTACAAGAGGTGAGGAATAAAGTTTTCTCAGTATTTTCTCTCCATCTCGAGTTTGTATCTTGTACCTCTGTGTCTGTCACTCCCCTGCCCCTGACGCTCTGGTTTATTGGCTGTTACCGTAGTGTTGCTGGTGTTTGATGGTTATGATCTCACAGTGACACCACACACGAGGAGCACACACACACACACACACAAAAGGAGTGCAGCGGCTTCAAAATCGCACACACAGACACAAAGTTAGGTCCTGTGTGTGTGTGTGTGTGTGGCGGCCTTTACGCTCAGATCAGCGTCCTCCATGTTTCTGTGCTCTCATCTGCTTGCTGGAGCTTTTGAGCCTTAAATGTGCTGTTCACACCAACACTGAGCTCACCTTTCACTTCAGATACACACATTCATGTTGTTGTCATGCCAGTATTTGCACTATGATTCACACTGATAATGTTACTTCTGTTTCAGTGCTCTAAGTGTCATTTCGTTGTCCCTTGTGACAATGACAATAAACCTTTGAATCTTAAAGAAGAACACAAACACAGCAGATTACTTGGAGTTTGTCGGTGTGAGTGTTGCCGTGGTGACCGGTGTTTGCTGTGCAGAAGCATCTGGGCATGTGCAGTTTGGTAATGACATGCCCTCTGACCTTTACAGTGTGTGACCTCTGACCTCTGCTGCTCCACTTCTGACCACCACAGTGTTTATGAGCTCTACTTTATTTGTGTTTTTTTCTGCCCTTCCTCCCGCTCTTGTCTGTGTGTTCTCTCCCTCTCCGTCAGCGGCGTGCGGGGCGTTCCTCCTCTTCATCAGCACAGATTACGTGTTTGATGGTCGGAACCCACCATACGGAGAAGACGACGCCCCCAACCCCCTGAACCTGTACGGACGCAGCAAGTTGGAGGGAGAGAGAGAGGCCCAGAGGCATTGCCCCGGTACGGAACCGGGACTGAACCAGGACTAAACCAGGACTAAACCAGAACTAAACCGGACTATAGCAGAACTGAATCGGGATTAGACCAGGACTAGACCAGGACTGAACCAGGTTTAACCCAGGTCTAACAGAGTTCTCCTCAGACTGTGTGGTGCTGCGGGTGCCGATTCTGTTCGGGGAAGTGGAGCGGGTAGAGGAGAGCGCGGTGACTGTTCTCTGGACCTTGGTTCTGGACTCGGCTCAGACCTGCTCGTTGGACCACACCCAACAGCGTTTCCCCACTGAGGCCAGAGATGTAGCACGGGTCTGCAGCAACATCTGCTCCAGACGCACACAGGTACTGGACCAGGACTGGACCTAGTCTGAGGTCCTGGTTTAGTCCTGGTTTAGTCCTAGTTTGAGTTCTCTTCTGTGTGGTCAGGACCCGTCTGTGCGTGGCGTGTTCCATTATTCGGCTCAGGAGCAGATGACCAAATATGAAATGGCCAAAGCCATCGGCGACGCCTTCCACCTGCCCTCTGATCACATCGTCCCGGTAACAACACACATCCACTTTTCTCCTCTCTCTCTCTCTCTCCTGCTCTCTCTCCCTGTCTCCTTTCTCCTCCTATCTCTCTCTCCTCTCCTCCTATCTCCCTCTTACTGTCTCTCCTCTCCTTCTTCTCTCTCCTCGCTGCTTCTCTCTCCTGTCCTCCTGTCCTGCTCTCTCTCTTCCTGTCCTTCCTCTCCTCCTATCTCCCTCCTCTCCTCCTCTCCCCTCTCTTCTCCTCCTCCCTCTCTCTTCTCCTTTCCTTCTCCTCTTTTTCTCTGTGTATATCTTGTATTCTTCTGTATTCTGTCCATAGTTGACGGCGCCCGGCCCAGGCCCCGCCTCTCGCCCTCTGAACGCACGCCTCGCCTGCTCGCGCCTCGAGCTGCTCGGCCTCGCCGTGGAGCCCCGCCCCTTCAGAGCCGCCATCTTGGATTGCCTATGGCCATTCACCCCTGACCGCCGCTGGAGGCAGACCGTCTTCCACTGAACTACTACTACTACTACTACAACAACTACTGCATCTGCTACTAGTACTGCTACTGCTGCAAATACTTCTACTAGAGATTGACCAATATGTTTGTTTTTTTCATGACTGATGTCGATAGTTTAGAGTCAGTGTCCGTGGAGCTCTGCTGTTGCGCAGGGCTGATTTAGATCATTTTCTTCAAATTCTGTCACTTAAAGGCCAGTATGACTCTGATAATTTCACAGATTTCTTCTCTCAAACAGAAAACACTGCAGCTAGAATTATTTGGATAATTTCACATACTTCTGTTACTGTTGCATCTATATCTACTGCTTCTGCTACCACTGCAAATACTTCTGCTGCTACTAAGCAAATACTATTACCGTGATTTACTTTAGGCTCTTGGCTCTTGACTAAAATGTTTAATTTCCATTTTGGGTTTAAATGTAAAATGATGCACTTCTGTTTAGTGAAGCATGTCGTTTGTGATTCATGGAATTTCAAGCTGAACTCAGGAACTCTCTCTGAAGTGTTGGTCCTGGTTTAGTCCCAGTTTAGTCCCAGTTTAGTCCCAGTTTAGTCTCTGTTTAGACCTGCTTTAGACTCTGTTTAAACTCGGTTTAAACCCGGTTTAATCCCGGTTTAATTAATCTTAAAGTCTTAATTTAGTTTAGTTTAGGCCTGTTTTAGACCTTGTTTAGTCCAGACACAACCAGAGGAAACGTGAGAACAGCTTTGAAACAGAAAAAGAAAAGATTTTGTAGATTTTTTTTGTTAAAAAAGTCAAAACAAATCATAGAATAAAAATCATATTGTTGAAAATTTTAAAATCTCCTTTTTTACTCACTTCACCTGTCTGTGTGTGGACGGGGACTCTTCACCTGTCCGTGTGTGTGGACGGGGACTCTTCACCTGTCCGTGTGTGTGGACGGGGACTCTTCACCTGTCTGTGTGTGATCATTGAGATGCAGACCTCAGAACATTTGATTAATTGCAGATAATTGAATGCTGTTTTTGTATGGACCCTGCCTCTGCTCTGGTCCTGCTCTGGTCCTGCTCTGGTCCTGCTCTGGTCCTGCTCTGGTCCTGGTTTGGTTAATGGTCTGATTTGAATGTAGACTGGGTTTTCATTTGTCTGACTGGCGTAAGACTCAGACTTTTACCCAAATCGTGTCTAAATGAAGCAAGATGAACCAGTTTGGGATCACAGAGGCAGGGTTTAAAAGAGTCCCCCCCAAAATCCAGAACTCAAACCAGACTAGAACTGAACTCATCTTGGACTCCATCATGTCAGGTAAGTTTGAGGAATCCTGTTCTGCACAAGAACCACAGAGTAATCAGACAGGTGCAGACAGGTGTAGACAGGTGCAGAGCTCTCATTGTATCCTGTTTTTATTTTTCCAGATGAAAAAGCATCTCTCCTGCTTCTGATCTCAAGTGAGTGTAGAAGTTGAGCCTAAACCAGAACTAAACCAGAACAAAACCAGGTCTAAACCAGGTCTAAACAGGACTAAACCTGGTCAAAACCAGGTCTAAACCAGGACTAAACCCGGTCAAGAACAGAACTAAACCAGGTCTAAACCAGAACAAACCTAGGTCTAAACCAGGACTAAAGCAAGACTAAAGCAGGACTAAATCAGGTCTAAACCAGGACCAAATTTGATCTAAACCAGGGACTAAACCTGGTCTATCCCAGTCTCTCTGCAGTGGGTCTATGTGGGGTCCTGGCTGATATCCGAAGGACTTTCATTTATGTGGAGGAGAAGCTGAACTGGTCTCAGGCTGTGGACCGGTGCTTAGAGCAGGACTCATTCTTGGCCTCGATTCTGGACCTCCGTGAGAACTCTGAGGCCTCGCCCCCGAAGGACAAGTACTGGACCGGACTGAGCCGGGCCTGGACCTGGGCTCTGGAGGGGGACTCGGAAAGGGCGGACTCACACTGGACCCTGCACTGGGCGGAGAACGAACAGCTGGAGGGAAGGAACTGCACCTCCCTGGGGACCTTGGACCTCAAATGGGTCTCCAAACTGCACCGTGAAGCTCAGATACGCCTCCTGCTACAGCGGTGAGTCACCACGGGGGCGCTGCAGAGCTCTGGTCTGGCCCATGGTCTGGACTGTGTTTTCTGTTGTGGAGGTGGACCAGATGCATCATATAATCGAGGGGTCCATGGACTGGGACGAGACTAGGGACTTGTGCCGGTCTCAGTTCACAGGCCTGAGCTCTGCCCGGGATCAGAACCAGATTCAAAACGTCTTTAAAGCGTTCCAAAACCAGCACCGGACCACCACCCCAGCCTCTACAACCACTAAAGCAGGTACCATCGTGTATGTCAGATGCCCTCCTGTCTCTGTAGTGTTAGACTGAGATGGGGGCAGATGTTTTTGGTTGGATGTAGGGGTAGTGTAGGAGGGTGGGAGGGCATCTGACACTTGTGGTTATGTCCTCAGGTCTGGACAGGATCTGGATTGGTCTGTCCTGGTGCTGGGCGTGGTGGGACCAGAGGCCGGTCTCGTGGAGTCACTGGGATTCGGACCCTAAAGACTGGGGGCTGCATGGTTCTGGACAGTGGAGGCAAGTGGAGCCAAGAGGACTGCACCAAGGAGCACGGATTCATCTGCCAGAAAGGTCCTGAATTGAGTCTGAACTGGGTCTGAACTTGGTCAAAATTGGGTCTGGTTCTGGTCTAGTCCTGGTCTGGTCCTGGTCTAACTCTGGTCTAAATGGACTAAACCCAACTGGGCTAGTCCCAGTATGGTCCAGGTCTGGTCTTGGTCTAGTCTTAGGTTAAGTTTGATCTGGTTTTGTTGCAGATGTTGTGGAGATGAAGTGGACAAAACTGAAGTTGCATCTGAATACAGGATCTGCAGATCTCACTGATCCAGTGGTCCAACAGTCCCTCCTGAACCAGGTCTAAACCAGGACTGAACCGGGTCTAAACCAGGACTGAACCGGGTCTAAACCAGGACTGAACCGGGTCTAAACCAGGACTGAAACGGGACTGAACCAGGACTGAACCAGGACTAAACCAGGACTAAACCTGGATTGAACTAGGACTAACTCAGTGATAAAACTGGGGTCTGACCCAGGATCTCGTTGCAGATTGGTGAGAGGCTGCAGAGGTCAGAGGTCACTGGAGTCAAACTGAGCTGGAGTCAGTGCAGAAAGGATCCCTTTAACACAGCGCTCCCCACTGGCTGTGTGCTGAAGGTGCAGCCATGAAGACGAGGAGGAGAGGAAGAGGAGAAGAGGATGAGGAAATGTCTGAAATCTGTTTTATTTACTTTGGTGTATTTTGTAGTGAATAGAGATGTTCAGGACTAAACCAGGACTAAACCATTTTCAGACTGAAATGGGAACAATAGTGAAATTTACTGTGTATCCATTAGTTTATTATATATTTATCTCTCCTACTCCTACTCTTCCTACTCCTCCTACTACTACTCCTCCTACTACTCCTCCTACTACTCCTACGTCAGTTTCTCAAATGGAGAATCAGTTGTAATAATGACTGAATCATTAGAATACAGTTTTGTTCCTGTACAGTCTGTTTCATAGAGCGTGTATGGGAGCTATACATTCTGTCTATATGTGTATGTTCCATCTAAAACACTGACATGTTTCAGTGTTTCAGTGGTCTGCAGGCTTCAGAGTGACAGTTCTTTGTACAGCTGTTACAGAGGCTTCATGCTGTTTGTCAAATTCAATAAAGCACAATACAACTACAGAAAAAGATTTATTGATTTAATAATATGTGGTTAGTATAAAAGTCAAAACCAGGACTAAACCAGGACTAAACCAGGACTAAACCAGGACTAAATCAGGACTAAATCAGGACTAATCCCGGTCTATACCTGGTCTAAACCTGGTTAGGATTCAGGAGTACATATTGAATACAAATGTAAACAGTTTAATATCATTAGTGTTTTGGTCCTAAACATGAGAATAAAGTTAAAACACCAGAGTATTTGAAGGATCATTTCCTAAACATTTCAATCTGTCATTGATAAAAGTGTCAATTTCACAGTGTCAGAAACGTCTCATTTTTAAAGTGGTATTTCCCCATTTGAACAGAATTCAGATCAACTTTAAGATTTTTCACTTTTACATCAAAAGAAATTTCCAAATCTAAATACATCATTAGTTTGAATAGGTCGTCCCTCTTCTCTGCGATTGGACAGTTTCTCCTGGGCAAGTGCTCTGACAGGCGCTCTGGCAGGTGCTCACATGACTTCGCAGGTGCAGTTGACACCCTTCTCCTTGGGCGCGGCGTCGTACAGGGTCGTGGCCTGAGAGTTGACGAGGCCCCAGAAATTCTCGAAGGAGACGTCCTGTCCACTCTGCACCCCCATCTTCTGCAGCAGCTTCTCCAAAGCATCGTCCGACTCCAGGGTCTAGAACAGAGACAAAGACCGGGTCAGGGCCAGAGACCGGGTCAGGGCCAGAGACCGGGTCAGAGACCGGGTCAGGGCCAGAGACCGGGTCAGGGCCAGAGACCGGGTCAGGCCCAGGATTGAAAAAGGCAGAGTTGAGTTGGGTTCTGGTCAGGAGCACCTGTGGCTGAAAGGTTTTAAAAAGAGGACACTGTTTTCTGGATGAATTAGACCCATAGACTGTAGATCTCTGGATAACGCAAAGACACTCGATGCCATGTTCAAAACAGGAATGGAGTATGGGAAAGATTCTGCTCCTCTGACTCCAGGAGACCTTTGTCACAGCAGCCGGAAGGTTTGCAGAACTTCTGGTGAATGTTTTTCTGTGCCAAAATGTGTGTGTAAATGTGTGTGTAAATGTGTGTTGTATTCTCCAGAAACTTCATAAATCACCAAATCTTCAACCAACAAACTCCACAAAGGATAAACATTCTTCATGAACAATTTATCCACAAATATCAAGAGAAGAAAGACCAAAACTTAAAGGAAACAACGACCACGCGTTAGAGACACACTCAACTAAACTAATGTTATGGTCCTAGAGATGTGTCACAGTCCAACTGCACAAATCTCTCTATCTACCCTAATATCTAAATCATGAAATCGATTTTTAATTTTAATGAGTAAATAAGTTCTTTCTGTTTTATTTTTATTCATGAGCATAACATTAGTTTAGTTGAGTGTGTCTCTAACGCGTGATTGTTGTTTCCTTTAACTTTTGTTCTTTCTTCTCTTGATATTTGTGGATAAATTGTTCATGAAGAATGTTTATTCTTTGTGGAGCTCGTTGGTTGAAGATTTGGTGATGGGGCAGATTTATGAAGCTGGCGGAGAGAAGGCAAGACATTTCCACGTTTTGACATTGAAAAGCATTAACCAGAAGTTCCGCAAACCTACAGATCGGCACTTCAGCCTTTGTGAAAAATCTATTGGCAGTGACTCTGGCTGCAGTTCAGTTTGTGGGTAAACAGCATCGCTCTTCTCTCTGTACCTGCTGCTGTCAGACTCATTCTGACCTGAGACTGTTGGTTTGAACCTGCTCCACATGATCCTGGGGTTTTTATTTCAACACTTGTGCCTAAATCAAGATGTGAACATTATTAACAGACCAATCAGTCGCCTTCTTTCCCTGAGGTTGCTCGCGCTAGCTCTCGTTAGCAACAAGTTTCATTAAAAGCGTTGCTAAGTGCCCAATCTGCCAATAGCCTCACTCCTGATTGGCTCTTTGGTTGCTATGGTACTCTTGGTCGGAATTTCAACTATGAAACCGGGCTCCAGATTAGCTGCAATAAAGTGAGGTTCATTTAGAGCCGAACGCTGAGGGTGACGTCACACTCTCTGTGGTCAAATAACCCGTGACAACTCTTTTTATCACTTGTTCTAAACCACATCTAAACCAGGTCTAAACCAGGTCTAAACCAGGTCTAAACCAGGTCTAAAGCAGGACTAAAGCAGGACTAAACCTGGTCTAAAGCAATTCTAAACCTGGTATAACCCTGGGTCTTACCTTGGACAGCGCAGGCATCTGATTGGACAGCAGCGTCTGGAACTGTGTGGTGTTCATTGTGGGTTTGTTGTCCGAAGCTTTGTAGAACTCTGAGACCAGAGTGTTTAGGGCCAGCTCCAAGTCCGAGTACTGAGGAAAAAAAACAGGTCAGAACCAGGACTGAACCAGGACTCAGGTCAATCAGGTCATAGTACAGAGGGGAGAAGATCAAACACTAAACCAGGACTAAAGACTGTGTGAATCAGGACTACAGCAGGTCTAAAGCAGGACTAAAGCAGGTCTAAAGCAGGTCTAAAGCAGGACTAAACCAGGTCTAAAGCAGGACTAAACCAGGTCTAAAGCAGGACTAAACCAGGTCTAAAGCAGGACTAAACCGGGTCTAAACCAGGTCTAAAGCAAGACTAAACCAGGTCTAAACCAGGTCTAAAGCAAGACTAAACCAGGTCTAAAGCAGGACTAAACCAGGTCTAAAGCAGGACTAAACCAGGTCTAAAGCAGGACTAAACCAGGTCTAAAGCAGGTCTAAACCAGGTCTAAACCAGGTCTAAACCAGGTCTAAACCAGGTCTAAAGCAAGACTAAACCAGGTCTAAACCAGGACTAAAGCAGGACTAAACCAGGTCTAAACAGGACTAATAGGAGTCAGATGTTTTGCTGGACATATTTTGTGAATGAGGATAGAGTCTGGAGAATGTGTGGAATGTAACTGAGACTCACATCTGACTCTCATCAGGCCAGAGACTACAGCTCCCACAATACACCACTCCAGAGCTGACCCCTCCCCTCAGCCGCACCTTCACTACTGCTGCAGAAGGGAGGAATAGAGCTCCTGCAAAGTCATGCAATCCCAGCATGCACCTCCAGACCTCACACGGACACCTCCAGGCCTCACCCGGACACCTCCAGGCCTCACCCTGACACCTCCAGACCTCACGCTGACACCTCCAGGCCTCACCCTGACACCTCCAGACCTCACCCTGACACCTCCAGACCTCACCCGGACACCTCCAGGCCTCACCCGGACACCTCCAGGCCTCACCCGGACACCTCCAGGCCTCACCCGGACACCTCCAGGCCTCACCCGGACACCTCCAGGCCTCACCCGGACACCTCCAGGCCTCACCCGGACACCTCCAGGCCTCCAGGCCTCACCCGGACACCTCCAGGCCTCACGCTGACACCTCCAGGCCTCACGCTGACACCTCCAGACCTAACCCTGACACCTCCAGACCTAACCCTGACACCTCCAGACCTAACCCTGACACCTCCAGACCTAACCCTGACACCTCCAGACCCTGACACCTCCAGACCTCACCGGACACCTCCAGACCTCACGCGGACACCTCCAGACCTCACGCGGACACCTCCAGACCTCACGCGGACACCTCCAGACCTCACGCGGACACCTCCAGACCTCACGCGGACACCTCCAGACCTCACGCGGACACCTCCAGACCTCACGCGGACACCTCCAGACCTCACGCGGACACCTCCAGACCTCACGCGGACACCTCCAGACCTCACACGGACTCACGCGACACCTCAGGCCTCACGCGGACACCTCCAGGCCTCACGCGGACACCTCCAGGCCTCACGCGGACACCTCCAGGCCTCACGCGGACACCTCCAGGCCTCACGCGGACACCTCCAGGCCTCACGCTGACACCTCCAGGCCTCACGCTGACACCTCCAGGCCTCACGCTGACACCTCCAGGCCTCACAGTGCAGTGGAGCAGTGGAGAATTCCCACAGAAACTAATGGCGTGAGTCACAATTAATGGACAGATAAGCAGTACTTTATTGATCCAGAAGAAATAACATTTTCTGAAGTTTCAGAGATTGTGAGTTATTGTTGCTCTGAGATGTAACAAGACAGAAGAAAGCCTGAGCGTGTTTATTACACTGACAGGAGTGATTTAGCTGTAATGGAGCGACATCTGCACATTAGTCAGAGCACAACGCATTATCAATATTTTATCCATTTTCCATTATTTAAACTGTCAGTATCAGTGGCCCAGGATCATGTAGAGCAGGTTAAGATCAACATTTTAAAACCAATACCGAGGCTCACAGCAGTTACAGAGTGTATTACAATGAGAGTCAGAGTCAGTAGGAGCCAGAAGAGCCTCTATGCTGCTCACCTCCTATTAGGAACATGACTACCATTCATACAGTTTGTGTATGAGAAGATGAAAAGCAAAGCAGCTCTTCAGATACTGCAGAGTTAAGGCGAAATCTACACAATCTATTCTTTTTAAAATCACACCCGTGCAGGTATAAGGCTTACTCATGTTTAATCTGATTAGTCTGAAGAGAAATCATTGACATAAACACTCCGAAAGTGACTTGGTGCTATTCATTACCCATAATCCACCACGGCCAACATGGCATCTGTCAGATTTAGTTACGTGGGTGCAGGAGCTCTATGGACCTGAACTATATATCACAACTGTGGGTGGGTAAAGGGGTTTGGGGGTTTGGGGTCCACTGCCTCATCTGTCAGGATTTTGTGCCTGACCGTGTAGGGACTACCGGTAGGGATGGGCATTCGATGAAATTTTATTAATTGATCGTCGGGAGAATTAAGATTGATTTTCGATTAATCGTTAATGTTTTATATAATAAGTATCATCATTATTATTACTATTCTGCATAAATAAACTCAACTTACGACATATAAACCAGAACCACATCAGCCTGTTTTGAGATTATAACGTGTTTAATGCAGCTTTGCGCAAGTAGAAACGAAACTCAAAACCACATGGCTAATTTGCATAAACTAAGCGAAGAAAAA